GGCAATATTTCACATCCAACGACTACCATATGGCACACCGTTACAAATTGTATAAAACACTAAAAGCAATTTCAACGTTTCGACGAAGATGGATAAACATTATTTAAACTTTTCAAAAAGCAAAAAGATAATAAAATAATAATACCTAATCTTACCCGCCATTTAAATCACCGATCGCGGAGTTCGAAGTTCAAAAACTTATTCAATTTAACACGACAATGTCGGGAGACAGCTAGTTCGTCACTGCGGCTTACCCTAATAGGAATTAACAGAGGCAATCAGTCAAAACTGTTGGTTATCACGATAACGGCTATCAGGTACCGATGTACCGATGTGCTGTCCCCTCGTCTCCATCGATCGACATCATCATTCCATATCCATCACGCGACCCCGATGCATAACGGAAATGTAAATCGTAAAACATTTTATGTTTATTACTGTTTATAATTTTAGAATGGTAATTTGATTTGAATTTCGAAAAGCTAAGGATAGGGGCGGGAATGATAATGTTGTTTTTTTTTATTTACGCATTTTTAACCAATGTTGTAAGTCTATAAAGCAGTTTTTTATTTGATATTATTTTACGTGGATAATGTTTAATTTCTCAGAAACCAAATAGTTTGTACCTAGAATTGAACCAAAATCAAATATAAACATGTTTATTCTAGTTTTCCAGATATTAATTGGTCGGCTAACAAACTGTTTAATTTAATTTGTAACAAACATCAATAGAAAATACTACCCAAACATTACGAATCTACTTTCAGCCAGTTAGCACACGGGGGTGTATTTACAGTAAAAACAATAAGAGGCACAATTTAAACAAATTAAAGTAAATATAAACTTTTTGTAAACCGTAATGAACATTAAAATTAGCAATAAAAGTTAAATTTTCATATACTAAAGAGCTTTTCAGTCTATTTAAAATTAGTTTCAAATGAACCACATTTATAAAGGTGAGGGCCTGCACAGACGAGCGACTTCTGTCCGGTGCCGATACAAATTGTCTAAGGATAGTGGAAGTGATCCATTGAAAACTTAACTGCATCACGGAGGACCTTCCTATCTATTTTTTTTAAATTATTATCATTAACAATAGATTCACACAGTTTATGGTTTAAAAAGTTTGGGTGACAAAGTATTAGGCTCAGGATTCACGGCGCAATTTTTCCCGCGCCTGGCGCAGTGGCGGTATGGAGGCGGAATTTTTAAAACTCACCGCAGTTTTCAGCGGTCCCGCAGCTGCCGTGGTTACAATTAAGGCCTGCAAACTTGGCGGTTCATTATCTCAAGACGGTTAAACAATCAGAGGCCTTATTAGTTTGATTTACGTTTAAAGTATTCGAAACGAGTACGCGTTCGGCACACTGATTGGCGGGCGCGAATAAACCAACCAATTAGAGCGCCGCACGAGGTCTCGTTACGAATACTTTAAACGTAAGACAAACTTGTACTATCTGCCTCAGTTGAGTTCCAGACTGACGTTCCATTGCGATCGCCTGCCAACCGACCGCGGCTGCACCCGCCCGCAACTGCCGCGGGCGTTAAACGCGCCGTGGAAAATGGTTTTACTTTTTTACATACATAAATGCGTATTCTACAAACGCAGCTTTTGCTCGCAACTGCGGCGGGCGTGGGAGAAAATCAATCAAAAAGGGACGAAGAACGAGAGGTTCCGAGAAGTTCACAATAGTACTATCTGGTGAGTAAAAATACAGTACCCATTGAAATAAAATCAGTCAGACAAAAGTCTCTCGTCTCGACAGCCCCTTAACCTCAAATGTCAAAGTTCAGCTTAATTTCAGCATTTCAGTTAAATAGACACGTGAACCAAATAACCTGAAATTCTGATTAACGTCAAAGTTCAAATTAATTTCGGTAATAATTTAAATTGAAAGTAGATTTAGGGCTAATTTTGTTGTTGAATCGTGAAAACTGACAAGTTTTGTTACGTCACTAGTTAATAGGTTGCGTAACATTAAATTATGTGCGATTTCCCAATGGATCGTACAGAATATTGTGTAATAGTATCTATAATAGTTTTCATCAGCTATATTATAGACATAAATACCTGTAAAAACATATTGATTGACGCTTATTTTAAAAGTTCAGAATGCACTACTAAATGGGTAAAATATTCGTTGAGTATCTGTGGTATACTCTATGGTCATAGTATAGTCTATGGTGATAGATTATCTATGTGCGTGGTGGAGCCCGGAATTTGTAAAAGAATTGAAGACGTAATAAATGTGTGTTCGTCCTTAACTTTCTCTCTTTTTACTTATATTTCGTTTGCTTATAACATACCTAACAATATCCCTCATCTCTACGAATTTATTCTAATTTAAAAAGTCAAAGTAAAATCTGCTAAGTCTTACTTGCTACGGAAGTAGATACTTTTACTACGGAAGAAGAATGAGACTAATATGAGTAATGTCTAGATTGTAACATCACATTAATGCAATTTATAATATTGAATTTGATTCCAAATTATGGTAAAAAATTAAGAATTGAACCAGTTGCATAAATTTTCATGTGAAATGGGAAAGTAACTGTACATTCAGTTTACGAAAATATTTCAATTCCATTATCAGAATTAAAATCGTGCATGAGCACACAAAACCGTTCTTAAGGTACCTATGAAGTATTGTGTACTTACCTCCTATGAAGGTTTCTAAATAAAATAACTTATCTATTTGAAGTAAAACATCGGAAGTACAACACATTCGTCTCCAGGCGACGTGGTATGACGTCATACGTTTATGTACCTACTATCGAAGCTCTAAATCTCTGTACTACCGCTCCAAGAGTACCTATAAAACCTTACGAACTGAATTCTTGTACACAAAACTATAAAACTGAATGTAAATACAATTAATATATGGAAAATGAAGGCTAAAAATGAAAAGTTTTGATTGAAACTTGAGAAAAATGGCAACGCTTTTTTATATTTCGCAACACACACTATCTGAACTAAAAAGTAATTCGGAATTAATCTTCAATTACTTGATTGTTTTAAATTCTTATCAAGTCATTAACAAATACGTTTCTAAAACTTAAAGAAGACTACAAAAAATTCAAATAAAATAAGCAATATTTTGTTTTTCCCTTTGTCACGATTACAACCACGAATCCTAGGTTTAAAATAAATTGTTTCAAACTTTCAATGCAATAAATAATTAAAAAATAATCATTCTCTCACACATTGATTTGACAATTTACCTACTTTTGAATTTTTTCTCGCTAATGTTAAGGAAATAAGCATGCTATTTGACGCAGAAATATGATGACGTCATAAGTTGCGATCAAATACGAAATTCATCGAAAAGTATTGTTTTTGACATTTTAATAAAAGTATTGAATTTGACTACCTGTCCGTATTCCTAGCAAAATTTAATTAAAATAATTAAACAGACTTACCATGACTCAGAGACACGGCAGCTGCAGAACTTATCCATGTCAAACCAAAGGCTAGTCTAAAATGTAATGCTAATGTAGAGCCGCCATTGTCGCGCACTATCGTGATTCGTTCCCTAGTACTAGCTAATGCCAGACACGGCGACTAATTAGAATTTGGTGACACGCCCAGCCCAGGGAAGTAATTTACAAACTTTGTACCGACAGCAGAAATAAAATATTAAAATGAAATTGTTCAAGTTTTAAATGAAGTAGATAATTGTGGTTATGCTGATCTTGAGGTTAGATTTTAGATTGGAAATACGGATAGCATTAATGCAAAAGAAGTAAATCGAGGATTCTTTAATGCAGTAAATTACAATAAGGTAACTTCTCTAATATTTTCTGTAAATGTAGTCGATTAAACTGTTTATATGAATGTAATGTTAGTAAGAAAAATGGAAATGCAAATAGAATAATTGAAACTTTAGTGTAACTTAAAAATAAAGAAAGTAAGTAGAGTCAAATGAAATCGAAGATACATAAAGCATACGTTGTAAAGGAAATAATTTGGAAGACCAAGTCGTAAATAATTCATATTACGAACGAATTTATCGTAATGAAACATTGTATCTGAATTTAAATCTAAAATAAGCTTCACCCTGGCTCAAACGACCGTAAGGTCATTTTATGGACGATTAAAATGATTGCCTTTAATTTATTTCCCATTCATAACTTGAGAATTAGCTACATAAAACGTAATGGCTAAGGAGGGGCTTTGCAGCCATTTTACAATGTTATCCATCTCCCAGATCCCATAAACCGTTGCTTATATAATGGCTAAGAAACAGATTATAGATAACCTTCATTTGCAATTATTTTAACACTGGCTTCTTGCCCGTAGGTAAAGCTTTGTTTTATTTTTAACAAAAATCTCTTTTATCCTCAAAAGTTAGTTTGTACAAAACAAAGGATAGTTTTAAAGACATCACTTACTTTACGGTTGAGACTTGTAATAGTCTTTCCTCAATATTCTTAAAGAGTGTGGTGTACCCATCCCAAAAATGGCCTGCATTACTTCAGCATCGTTATTAATGATAGCTTCTTTTTATACTAAACAGACAAAAGTTTTGCTACGTCGTAGTTTCAATGCAGTCAGTAAAACATGATCACGACGCAGCTCCCGAACGTAGAAAGTCGCCAAATCGGCAATGACCGCTGCTAAAAATACAACGTCTTCTACGAGCTTTACGCGTGTCATGCTCAGTCAATTCTTTACACTGCTACAATTTCTTATTTGATAAAGTTGCAAATTATCATTACACGAAAGAACATCAAAATAATATTTTTGAAAACAAGCTTGCAGTTCGCGTGTTAAATTATGTAGAGAGAGAAACAATAAAATCATATTTTATATTTTCCACGGCGTTGGTAGTTACCTAGTACTAGGTACATTAGCGACTGTGAATACTAATGCAGTTTAGTTCACTCGTCGGTCAAAGTTCATTTTGTTTCTGGGTGAGAACTACTAGTTATAAGACACTGCAGTATTTATTGGCGCTTCTACAGCAAAAGGCCATACCGTAAATTTTATTAGAACGCCAATGTCTGATGAACCTGAAATAAAACCTACATGTAACGACTCCATACCATCACACGTGTCTTCAAAATCGGACGATGACGCTGACGTAAGTACAATCAACGCAAAACTTTTGCGTGGACCATAAACCGGGAGCTTAATTATGAATAAAGATACAATCCAGCATGCTTGGGGCACGCAACGGTTTAATCGTTTGTTTACGCTTGCTTCGCTTAACTAAAAGTGCCTCGAATTATTTATAGTCGAATTACATGATCGTCCCCAATAAAGACCTATCAAACAATATGCAAATGTCTCTAGAATATTTACTCGTAAATCCGCTCCGAGTTCTCAAACGTTTAGAAAACTAAGCAGTGTTTCATTTGCTGTCAGACATCGCTTGCGTGCTTGCGTATTTCTTTATTTCTGGAGTAAAAGAGAAAAATTAAGTAAAAATGTTGAAGGCTATGATAAAACGCGCTCTTAATATAAATGAGGAGAAAGTGCTTATTAACAAAACCTTGCAGTGCTTGGATGTACGTAACGGCATCATGTTCAAGTGTGACATGTAGTTTGTTCGTATGATAATATTGTTTGGTGTTATCCAGCAGAAGGATGCTACCAACAAGTCTCGCGGGAACCTAGCTGAAGACGACGCCCTAGACTGGCTCAAACCGCGGACTCTCATCAAGCCTGATGACCAGGAAGAAGTGCCCGAAGCTGTAAGACATTATTCCTCTTACTTACATACTGATTACTGATAGAACTGCTGATATCAAACATGAGAGAAAAAAACAAAGATCAGTATCAATTTTGCGCATGCGTACAGTGAGTTATGAATATGTAGGTAGTCAATATCTAAACAAATTCAAAACAATTGAAGCTTTATATTGTGAACAATTGAAACTCAATTGAGATGACCGGTGTACTGTGTGCGCTTGTCTGGTGTACTTTTACAAAGTAAAATTAGTTGCTTGACTCGTGTATTGACGTTAACATCGATGTTGAAATTATGAAGGTAATATCTTTCAGTACGTAATGCTTTCATTTGTAAATAATTTGATATCTCTGGAAATATTATAAGTCTTTATTGTATTATCCTCATCTGAAATGCGTGGACTTTTGTTTTTCAATAGGAAGTCTTAAGAAGAATCATAATTAATAAATTTAGTGTTACATACTATTTTGATTAGATTTCTAAAAGTTCTTATCATGAAAAAATGTGGTAGGTACATTTGTGACAATAATAATGTAGAAAAAATTACTTACGTATATTGACAACGTATATTTTATCACTATTTCTTCATCTAGGATTTGGAAGAAGAAGTAGGTCGCATTCTGACCACGATCAACCCTCAATGGGTCGCTGATGAAGTAGCGTACCACTATGGGAAAGGGAAGTTTATGGTTAAGCCGAAACCGACGTACGGGAAGGCGTACCCGTTGTACGTTCATCAGGGCACGGCTATACGGAAGGATTCTGATGAGGCCAAAGCTCAGATTGCTGCTGGATATGGTAAGTTTTAAGACATAACATAGTTGATTTGGTTTCAAAACCGGACTGATTATTATAAATATTAATAACTATTACTTAATATTACTTATAAGGCAAGAAAATTGCCCATGGCTTACCTAGACTTCTAGGCGGACTGAAATGGATAATTGGCAAGAAAACAGCATAATTGCTACATTTGCTGACTGCCTCGTTGGCCGAGTTGTCGCAAGTGCGACTGCCGGGCAAGGGGTCTCGGGTTCGATTCCCGGGTCGGGCAAAGTATTACTGGGTTTTTTAAAACTCTCAGTAGTAGCACGGAGTCTGGAAATGTGCCCGGTATATGGCAATAGGCTCACCCCCTATTACATGGGACTCATAACATAAATAGTGAAAAGTGGGTGTTACTTCTATGTGCACCTCTGCCTACCCCTTCGGGGATAAAAGGCGTGACGTTATGTTATGTATGCTACATTTGGTCAGCGATTTGTGATAATTGAAGGTTGGGAACAGCTCAAGTCGATGCTGCCCCTTCATTCCAGTCCCAGCCCACTCATGGCAGTTTTAGAAATTATCTCAGAACATTGTCAAAAATAATGTTATGTTTTAGGTATGGTCAGTTTTGATGACGCTGGACCGAAAAGAGTGAAAGTCAAGAAGACGAAAACTGAAGAAGAGGAGGAAGAGGAACCAGAACAAGAACCGGTTGCTACAGAAGAGGCTAAAGGAGATGGTAAAGTAAACTGTACTAAGGCAAGAAGTCCACGTAAAAACATTTACCTTAATTATACCTAAAAGGAATATCGAATATAAAAATAGAAGAGACAATAAAATTTGACCAATAGAATTGCCATAAAAAAAATATTGTAAATGTATCACTGACAATCGATCAGAAAATCCCGTTTGATTACAAAAATATGATCGATACAATGACGGTTATAAAAACACAGGTGAATGTAAAAGTATTGTGTTTTTAAAATTTGATGGGCCAACGTTTGGCCACTATCTTACCTGGTGTTAGCGATGCGGTCTACGATGGAGCACGTCTGCCCGTAATGATGGTATACGTTTTAAACTCATCGTAATGTTTATGTAATTAAAATAACAGACGTTGAAAAATAAATTACGTGCTAGCTACGTTTCAAAACACATTTTTGCGCATTTAGTATCAAAACATAACTCCTGTGCTCAGTTTCTGGGTCACCACAAAATTTTCACCTCACAGTTGTGGTTAAAAGTTTTACCTTTTTCTTCATTGGTATTTTGTTGGTTTTCTATTGTGTCTCATATACATACATTCAAGCGGTTAAACTACAATATTTGTTTACTAACTTATCACCGGCACTTATTACAGCGTAGCCTGAACTAGCTTTAACTTAAAGTACCTATTCATTCACATCACCAACGGAAACGAATCAAAATTGATTGCATTGATCCGAACAGATTTGTAAACAAACAAACCCGGGAGACTGAAAAACCCTTTCAACCGAAGCACCAAAATTCAATCACATCTCCCTAAGATACTAATTGTGATCACAATCATTAGATTTTGGATTACCAAAAGCAATAAAGAATGATAAGGACAAAATACAAAGAAAACTTATAGATACTACGGTTGAAACCCTGGATTTCACCGGAAACCACGCTTTCTTTAGCAAAACAATAAAGAATCGAACATCTTAACCTTAAGCACAAGGCAGTTTAATAATACGCGTTACTATTCACAACACAAATGTACGCAACGATCTCCTCATGATAAGCCATTGTGAGCCGCTTTGGGTTACCCTTGTAACCTCCTGTTGACATTCGACACGATAATCCATTGAAATAGCGAATATTTATAGCGATTCCAAAATCGATTCAAGACAGCCATCGCGAGGAACTCTATAGAACACTGGCATTTATTCGTACAAACAGTGTTGATTTTATTTTTGCACGATTCGATTGTTATCTTTACAAAATTCTGGCTGAAAAATGTGTAACATTCGCAATTTGTAGCATTGTTACCTAACACGTTATTTAAACTCTGTTAGATTACAATCACCGTTTTCTTTCCCTTTCAACTGAATATTATTAGTTGCGTGTCTAATTTTTGGATTTCACTTTACTAATAATTACTTACTTGTACAAATCGTGACTGATTTGCTTTTCTAGACATGCAAAACAAAGATGTACCTAATAGTGGTAGGTAATTGTAACATAAACATTATCAAAAAACAAAAATGTCTAATTTTAGCATTTGAAACTAATCCAGAGATAAAGTCGACAATGATATTGTTTTTGTAACAGAGGATCAAGTCCAGGAAGAAGAGAAGGCTGCAGCCCCTGATGAAGCACCGGAGGAGAAACCAGCAGAAGCAGCCGCAGAGGAGCCTAAAGCAGAGGAAGAAGCAGTCGCTGCTGAAGAGGGACAGGAAGCTGAAGAGAGTGAGTCGTTTGATAATATTCCATACGAATTAACTTAACAAATATATTTTTTTTAAAACAAGGAAGCTTGGGGTTACTCTAAAGTAGTCTACAACAGGTCCTAAAGCTTATTCATAGAAACTTATGTGCTAATGGTGACTGCCCTGATAATTTTCGTTAGGTTAAAAATAATTATATTTATCTAGTTATTTAGGGCAGGGCAACATCATAAACTCTATTTCATAATATGAATTCCTAAAATCGAATAACCCAAATTAAACCAATTAGTAATTTGCCCGATTCAGTTAATCGTGCAGTAAGCAAACCACAGTAAGCAAATTAAGTATAGAGATTGTGGAGCAATAAACTGGTTGTAATCTAGTAACAACCCGAAGCTAACCTCTAGCTTTGAAACTTATCCAAACATTTGGGATATCCAAGACAAGTTTGTCACTGTCTGTATATGAATATATTACGTAAAAGTATTTTAGTAACGAAATTATCTACATTTGAGTAAGACATTCATTTAGAAAGTTTAGCTACTGACAGTATGGGTCTGCGTGTTTTTCACGTGGTGTATTTGACTGTTCTATTTATGAGGTTATAACATCGTAAGAGCTCTATCTTGAATATTATTAAATAGGTTATCTATTGATATGCGTTGTTTTGGAACGCGTCTTAAGCATAGTACCTATTATAGGATTTTATTTGATGACCGCTCTTTCACGAATCAGTGCCTTTAGCCAAACGCCACTTTAGCGCTTGTCTACAGAGAGAGTAGAAAAAAATGTATAGGGATGACACTGATAAGTGTCAAAATTTACATCAATCCCATATTTTTTTTTCTATTCTACAAGTAGACAAGCGCTAAATGGCATTTGGCTACAGCTACAGCTTAGAACTGGTCATATTATGGCCAATGAATGTGGACGTGATTATTCCAAATCAAATTATTCAAAAGTCCGTGATAAGGGGTCAAATGAAAGTTAGCGACGAATGGTCTCTATTCAGCTACGGAACACTATATCGCCACCCTTCTGACTCAGTTCGTCCCACCAGTTTTCTCAGAAATATAGATACATTTATATAAACTCGAAAAATGAAAATATACATTAGAGCAAATCTTTGATGTGATGTGATCCACAAATTGTTGTTCCTGGTCTGGGTGGCACGTGTATGTGAATTTGTATGTTTGTTAACGCACCCACGACACAGGAGAAAATCCAAGTGTATATATTTTTTAAAAAAAGAAAAAAGAAACAATATTCTTAACAGTCTGAATCTTTCAAGCCGTAGGAAGGGTGTTACATGTTACTTGACTATATGACTTTTATTATTTGCATTGTGTCATAACCTTGTAAAATATTGAGCATATAAAAGAACATGTTCGTCCATTGAAAGGCGTTGTTACATAGTTGATTTTATGACGACACTATCTGAATGATCGCATAAACTATTTCGAGAAAGTCACACCCGCGCACTCGAGTATGATTCTTTGACTTTTTTTAAACATTGCCCCTGTTTTTTTGTATGTGTTGCCGACGTAATGTGTTCTAATATAATATGGTATGTTGATACTTTAATGCGAGTGTACGACCGTGCTGTTAATAAGACAATTGCCTAAATTTAGAGTAGTGGTAAATAGAACAAGATAAACTATAGTTTGTAAACGCATGTAACAAAAATCACGGGTTACTCACGTGAAAATACAGAGAAAAGCTCTACTAGTTTCGAACTACAGAGGGGTTCTTCCTCATGAACAGAGTGCGCATTCGCGACAATGTCACGCAGCGTACTCCTTCTACTAAAACTAGTAGAGCTTTCCTCGGAATTTTCACGCGAGTGACCCGCGATTTTTAGTTAATTTAGTATGTCTCACGATAATTATTATAAAAACCGTGTAACAGCTGAGATGCGACCTGTAGACAACTAAGAGTCTTAAGACTAATAATTTACTTAGAAAAATTCTAACTTGATTTGATTTATCAAGGTTTATATAGTTTTGTAATAAATGTATGTATTTACAGAGGAAGCGGGACAAGACGATCAAATGCTGCAAGATGAATATCTCGACATTAAGCCTCGAGTGAAGAAGCTGGCCAATCAGTTCAACTTCTGCGAGAGAGCAGCTCTCACATACACCTACCCTAGACGGGTAAATATTTACCTTTATTTTTGTGTAAGAAAGAACTATCGTGAGTCAGGAAACATCCCAGTGTGTGAGAAAGCCAAATATCAAAAATGGCGTAAAATAATGCATGCTTTGATTTCACTGTGTGAGTAAAGTTACGGTACGAGGCCCAATCCTCTAATCCCTGAATCCTGAAAGGGCCGACAACGCAATAGTGTTGCGCCTTCTTAGCCTCTGGTGTTGATGATGTCCATGGACAGCGGTGATTATTATAACCCTAAGGTTGACTGGTAGAGAATGCCATATGGCATTAAGTTCGCCTTATGTACCATAAACAAATTATGTACATTAAAGAATAAATAAATAAATAAATAAATTATTTACCATCAGCTTGTCGGCAGCTATAGCCATATTATAGAGATGTGCTAAATTATCTGAGTGTTGAATGCAAGGCGTGGTGTAACCGCACCGCGCAATCTGTTCATAATATGAGTCCCGGTGTGACTTGAAAAGAATAGGGCCTCTATTAAGTAGTTAGAGTACATGAGTAAGTAGTTAGAGTACATGAGTAAGTAGTTAGAGTACATGAGTAACCTGGAGCCATATTTCAATTATACTTGTTTAAACTTAAGAACTAAAACAAATAAGCAAACTATGGTTTGTTTGTTTAACATAGGTATAAATATTGTACCAGATATAACCGGATTTTATTTGTTATTTTAACATTGAAAATACAGAACACAGTTTTCTAGATTTTCTTTCTATCTAGGTACATATTTGTCTATGTCTGTATAAATGTTTATCATATTATTTCATTTAAGGTAATAATGATCCGTCCTCTAACCATAGTTACTTCATAAACTAGCAAAGCATTTTGACATTTAAACAGTTTTAAGCAATTAATTATAATGTTTTCGGTTTCCTCGCGTGAAGCTAGAGGCTCATATACAAAAAAAAAAGAAAGTTTTAATATCAATAAACATAATTTTTAAGCATTAACCAGGTAGGTACATATTTGTCTATGTCTGTATAAATGTTTATCATATTATTTCATTTAAGGTAATAATGATCCGTCCTCTAACCATAGTTACTTCATAAACTAGCAAAGCATTTTGACATTTAAACAGTTTTAAGCAATTAATTATAATGTTTTCGGTTTCCTCGCGTGAAGCTAGAGGCTCATATATAAAAAAAAGAAAGTTTTAATATCAATAAACATAATTTTTAAGCATTAACCAGGTAGGTACATATTTGTCTATGTCTGTATAAATGTTTATCATATTATTTCATTTAAGGTAATAATGATCCGTCCTCTAACCATAGTTACTTCATAAACTAGCAAAGCATTTTGACATTTAAACAGTTTTAAGCAATTAATTATAATGTTTTCGGTTTCCTCGCGTGAAGCTAGAGGCTCATATACAAAAAAAAAAGAAAGTTTTAATATCAATAAACATAATTTTTAAGCATTAACCAATTTTTCTCGATATACATATCTAACGAACTAGAGTTATCAATTGGTTATTTTCCGGAGTCAATAAGAAATTATTTTGATTTTTCAATCCAATTAAATATTCAAATATAATTACAATTTCATTCATATATTTGACGATATACTTAATTTTCGATTTAACCTAGCAATTTTTTTCAGAAATCAGTGTGCTATTTGACTCGAAAACATGATGACATTCATGAATTCGTTTTTGGTACAAAATTCATAGAACATTACATAACATAATGCCACTGTACAATATAACACCTACTTTTCACTATTTATGTTATGAGTCCCATGTAATGGGGGGTGAGCCTATTGCCATATACCGGGCACTATTCCATATTCCATTCAAAATTCATAGAACAATATAGTTTATTGACTTTTCGATAAAAGTATTGAATTCGATTAGTTGTAAAATACCGTATTAGTGCTGCCTTTAATTAAATAGTGGAAAATAGCTAATTGAAATACGTCATTGATGATCTTTCAGCAGTAAGAGGAATGGGACTTTATTTCAAACAGTGTTTCTTGCAAAAAACGCGAGCTTCGTTTGTTTTTTTCTTCGTTTGTTGAGATATCTTTATATAATTCTTCTGTGAGTGTGTATGTCACTGAACTTCTCTCAAACGACTGGACCGATTTTGATGAAATTTTTTGTGTGTGTTCAAGGGGATCTGGGAATGGTTTAGATTCACAAATCAGCCCGGCAGATGGCGCTGCAGTCGATGTTTAGGTTATTTATCCTAAACAGCTGAACTAATTTGAATGAATTTTCGTTTATACATTCAAGTGGATATGCAGGAAAACGTCCGTTGGGTCCGCTAGTTAAATATAAAATACTCATACCTTATTGTATTAGACACTTATGTAATAATAATTTTGTTTATCAGTCAGTTGGTACAGGATATTCCTAATGTAGGCCGAGGTTTGTTTACAAAGTATTAACCGTTTGTTCAATATTGTGACGTAACTGTTGTACCAATCAAATTTCCTACTTTGACAATACGATATTTTTACTTTACTGGCTTTTTCGTGTGGTTTTTCTCGGTTTTTAGTTTGTAAGATACTATTGTGTAATTAAAGAAGCAAGGTACAGCCCCATCTGTTGAGGTCTGATACCACTACAGATGCAACCGGGACTGTGGACGACCATAGTTTAACGGGGCTCCGACTCGGAGCAGGAACAAAAACTCGTCATTAGTCAGAAACAGTCTGACACTCCCCCTTGCCTCATACGGGGTGGGAGGAAGCAAATACCTATTGATTTTTCTTTTAAAAAATTACAGGTAGGTTAGTAGTTAGTACCTATATTTTTTCAAGAACTCGATCGGCGAAAATTTTCTACCGAACACAGCCAACGGGTCTTAAACGCAAGGGCTTGCCAAAATCCCCACTGAAGTCGTAACTTCTAAAAATTTGTGTTGTTTTAATAGGTATCCATTTTGCATAGATTTCGCCTTCCTCATTTACCTTGCATAACGTAGGTACTTATCTATTAAATGAATTACCTAAACAAGATTCAACAACCGCAGTTTCCTGTTGACGGCGAATTTAAGACTAACTAAAGAAAAAAATGTATTTAAGTATTATAACTTTTAATAACTTTTAATTTATTTTTCTACTCATGAAAATGTACATTTCTCAACCAAAACTTTTACCTACTTGGATTATAAGAATTATTTTTTTAAATTAGGTACATTGTTTCACTTTACAAATTACTATATCTACCTAATCGTTTTATGAATTCAGGAACTTAAGAATACAAGTATACAGGATAAACAAGACTGCTAATTCTCACTAACAATATATTTCTGTTTCCACGCCACTTACAGAGAAAAGTAATTATATATTTCTAATTTACTTCACACCGTTCATATACCGCTATCTTTTAATATCATTTTCATCAACACAACAATACGTTTAATCTCAAATGAAACGTATCGACCGACATGCACTCTGCGTATTTATAACATCCACGACGTAGATAGTGCTGCCTACGCTACGCAAATAAAAAAAAAACATTCACCAAAATATTTTCGACAACAAACATTTTAAGACTAGTTTTTACTCACAGTTCAGTCAAAATATCTTCATTATAGTTGTAACACATTCAACATTTACACTTTACGAACAAAAGTCCATTGATTTTTATTCTTTTTCCTATTTATACGTTATCCCGACACTAGTTCTATTCGGGAATGGCGGTTGTAACTAGACGGGCGGCCGCCTCGCACGCTTGTCCACAAATACTTCAGAACATCTCGTAATCTGAATGTTTAATATGTTTATAGTCTGTGGAGACCCAAACAATCCCGCCGCCCAGAGCCAACTTCGGGGCTACAGCGCTCCAATGCATTATATTCGACTACTATCAAGAAGATTATGCCAGGAAAATGAAAGAAAAAGAAGAAGAAAAGCCTAAAAGGGTAAATTATGATGAAAACACATTCAAATTAATTCTGTATTACATATACATACGTTTCATATTAAGAGAGTTGTTATAATCACAAGAATAGACAAGAGAGTTGAAAATTTTCTAGAAATGTTCACAAGACAATTCATAAGAGATTTTATCGCACGTGCTATTAAATGTCATATTAATAAATCACGAACTACATTGTATTGGTTTGGAAATTAACACATCCTATCGAATTTTAAACGTTTTGCAGCTCTCGTTCAGTTAGATACAGCTGATGCCCGACAAAATAGTGTTCCATTTAAGTAAGTAATATAGAAAATAGAAATAGCAAGTACTTTTCCATTCACAACTACTAACGTAATATCAATAATAATACATTTAAAATAAATATTAGTGTAACGTCTACATGTTAATGTGTTTGTTTGTTTCATATTTTATCTATGTTTAATGTTGGACAGACCAGTACAACATGCAGAGCAATTATTTGAGTAGCACAAAAAGAATTCGTTGTTTTTGACATTTTTGGCGGTTTTTTAACCTAAAAAATGGAGTCGGCTGTCAGATTTGAATGTCATATTATCTCGTTTTTGTCACGAGATAATTATCTAGGCTGATAAATATTTGTCTTGAAAGCAAATTCACTAGAATGGCCTATTTATCTTGCAAGTAAATGTAGCTAATAATGGTTTATAGGTATTTAATGGAAATCAGCAAGATACCATAGATTCGTTCCTCACTTATGGTTTTTTAAAACCTTATGCTGCAAATCAATTCCTCGAAACAATAGGACATATAAGACTTTTATCTATCTAAGCTTTATCTAGATTGGGCTATTCACATGAGACTTGCTTACTTATGACGTTTAACTGTTTGATAATTCTGTATGATTTTATAATCTTCAATAAATTACAATATCGGTCTATCAGTTAACTGTAAAAGGTTATTAATGTATATTGTTAATTTCTAATACAGCTGCGAAAAAAGAAAACCAAACACGTGAAGTCGGAGCAGCAGATCCATGATGAACGACTGGCGCAGAGGATTCGAGAAGCCTGGGCCATACTTGAGAGGCTCGTCAACCAGAACATTTACGATGACATTGGTATTATCCCCTCCATAGATATACTTTTTATATTTCTGTAATTCACTCTAAAGTGCTTTCAACTTCAACTACGTATTGTCAGTAATTTTTTGTTCACTGGATGTAATTGACGCATTCCTAATGCATTTCTTAACGTTCTTTCATGATTTTTTAGTTAATAATTAGGAATTTGTTTGCGACAGTCTTCTCTAAAATTGTAAGCTGCTAGTAGTAGGTATAATCTACTTTTATAACATCCAAAAAAAATTGGATTTGATATACTTAAAGTCTTCTTATAGCCCAAGATTACCGATACTGGGATGATCCATCAGACGAGTTCCGTGAAGGTATGGGCTCTTTGCTGCCTCTGTGGAAGTTCCAATTTGATCCTGTGCGGAGCCACGCCGTCTGTGATGTGCAGTGGAACCCACACTATCAAGATCTGTTCGCGGTCGCTTATGGATCGTGTAAGTCTTATACAAACATTTCAGATTTGTAAGCAGACATTACGAAGATGTGCGTATTTCCACAATTCTTGGAAGTAGCGGTAACTGAAAATAATACTATTGGCTGCTAGTTTCAGTAACGATACGGAGAAATTTTGTAGGAAATCCTACGCAATTATCGTCAATAAGAGATTTTTGCTATGAATTAAAGCTAACCGTACTTCGGTAACGAACAATACTTTCATTCTCCCATCCCACCACACCAGCAGATCTATTCATTCACCCATATAAATCAAGTTAATCCCATTTATCTCATTCAGCGTCCCAAAACAGTTTGAAGTCACAATCTGAATAGGAAGCAATTGGGATGACAACGGTTAGTCAATAGGTGCTGAATACCGACACTCGAGTCCATTGAGTATCGCCATGTAGCAACAATGGTACTTGAGAACCGAAGTTTGCCGAAGATAGTCGATCTGACACGACCTCGGGTCAAGTGTTAGTTGTTACACAATTTTAAACATGCTGTATTTAGTGGCTCACTTGTTTACACAGTTTTTGTTAAACTGATTTTATGACTCATCGACTCATCGTTGAACTCATCACATTTATGTAAATAATAATAAACAAGTGTATTTGTGGATATTTTAATTTCGGTACAAAATGAAGTCCATCTAATTAATCACTGTAGCAAGTATTAAATGCAAGCTTACCACTCGTGTTTTTTTTCCAAAAAAGTTTTTAGCACAAAGCATCTGTCTGTAGGCATAACCGTGTACCTAATGGCATGTTATATAATAAGGTAAAACCTAAAGACGTCCAAAACATACATCACTTTTTTAAATACTTCCAAAACGTTCCAACCCGTCACTCTCAGCATACATTCATCTCAAAGATTGCATACTTTTATTCCCTTTATTACACGCACCATATCTACCCTAACTATCATCGTTTGGCTCCCCAAAATGTTCCCAAGGCACATCAAGGGCGATTTGTAATACGGGCGAGACAAGATGGAGGTTCGTACATTTTCCTCAATTGAACGTAACAGCATGCCGAAAGGGTAATCATCTAATTGAGTGTAGTGTTAGAAAAGTGAGGGTACTAATACTAGCATTACAGGCTTAGAGGATAGAAGTAACCCAGGAGCAATCTCCTAGTGATTCTTTAAGTAGATCGTGGGATCTGTACAGGAAAAGAAAGTATAGAGACTGTTTGCATCTTAAAATCTGATTGCTCTAGTTTACGGACTAGCGGACCTCCTTGACAATGGGGTAGCTTCCAGGGTATCAAAATTAAAAATCTAATCAGTCCGTCAGTTAGGTAATGAAATAACATTAGACACGTATTTTTTTATTTTCTCGTATTAAGTTGCAATACTTAGATAAAATGGCGCTAAGTTTAGGAATGGGAGGTCGTTACGTCATAACGTGCTACAAAATGTGACACGCTGTGGCGCCACATGATATTTCAAATTAATATATCGTTGAAAGTATTTAATTTTGCAAGAAAATAAAAAATAAATGTCAAAATTTTTAAATTAATGTACCCGATGGACATTAATATAAAATTTAGGAAACTACCCTATTAGTGTTTGACTCCTCTTATTTGGATTTCATTTTGCAACGGCACGATAAATTTGACGCGCTAATAATTTTCATTCCTATCCCATCTTGACTGAAATAATTTCATGAACTTTAAGAGTCCGTAGACAAGTTTGCGAGATAAATGCAAGACAAACACGAAGGAGGATTGAATACCCATTACCTGATAGCCTGATACCCAATGACTCTATTGACATTATATTGCGAAATATTGCCGAAGCTTGGACAAGGGGACATACTCGTACAACCATTTGATCCATGTGCGTGCATTGTCATAAGTTAATTATTTGTTACAGTGGACTTTACATTACAACAGAAGGTGGGTTGCCTCTGCCTGTACAGCATCAAGAACCCAGCATACCCGGAGTACGCCGTGATCACAGAGTCGCCTGTCATCTGCCTTGATGTATACAAGGAAATACCCTACCTTATCTGTGTTGGTAAGTGTCAGTTTGGTTGGCAACCGCTTATCTTTAAATTACCTATTGTTTAAAAATAGTCGTATTTTGGACAAATTGTTTCCTCCTTACCATTTTCGGGTTTGAGATTAAATGAGTGATACTAAAATAAAAAAGTAGGTAACATAACATAACATCACGCCTTTTATCCCCGAAGGGGTAGGCAGAGGTGCGCATTATACAACTGTACAATGCAACACCCACTTTTCACTATTTATGTTATGAGTCCCATGTAATAGGGGGTGAGCCTATTGCCATATACCGGGCACAATTCCAGACTCCGTGCTACTACTAAGAATTTTTAAAAAACCTAGTAGTGCTTTGCCCGACCCGGGAATCGAACCCGAGACCCCTTGCCTAGCAGTCGCACTTGCGACCACTCGGCCAAGGAGGCAGAAAAAGTAGGTACCTACCTAAATCAATATTTCACCTAGTGGCCTTTAAAAACAGGTCTTCTTTTTTTTGCTTAAAAACCCTCAAAAGCGCACGAGATGGCAGGCCATTGAAAATAAAAATAGAGCTATAGACAATTTTTTATTTGCATAACAGATACTTATGAAGCATACGTACAAAATTCCATAGTTTCATAAATCATTCTATACAATTTCATTACGGTCTACCGTCCATAAGGCCCATAAAACTATCGGTTTATTTACAAGATTACGTGCGTAATTATCAATAGCTAACTGTTTAGACTCTGATTCACCGCACATTAAACCAAGAATAGCCTCTAATACTTTAGTAAAGTGATAAAGAACATCTTGTCAGCTACAAATACTTTTTTATTTATATTAAAACGTACGGTTTTGCTTCTAAACGCCAGTAATCGTATTTTAATCGATTGTATAAACGTTGTTAATCGATAATGTTATCGAATGAGTCACTGATTTTCTTCAGGTTTTGTTACTAAAGTTTTCCCGGTTTTTCGTCCACTTTTGCAAACTCGATGCTTTATGTATATTTTTCTACAAATCTCCATTATTGAATGAATCTTGTCTAGGGTCTTACTTGAAAGTAGATGGACCCGGTCATCATGGTACCCTTCAAAGTCTTTAGTTTTTTTTTTCTCTTTTTCCTAATCTTTTTTCATCGTTGATTCTGTCTTCCCCAGGATTGTACGATGGCAACGTGTGCGTATATAATGCTCAGTTATCACTAGAGTCCTCTTATCAGTACAAATCTAACTCAGTGCGGGATAAACACAGCAACATAGTGTGGGAGGTAAGAGCCAAATAGTTTTTCCATTCAGAAAAAAATTCCATTCACGATTGGTTTTTTTTTGTATAATAACTCCAAAATGTCTAAACTAGCCATTAGAAATATAAACAATCAATAAACTTTATCTGGGGACACCCCTACCTATTGAAGATGGAAAAACGACTATTATAACTATTATAATAAAATTAATATTGTGTGACATGGTCGTTGAATACACAAGGGTGCAAAACCAGGTGTAAGACACCATTGCAAATTGGACAAATCTGTCGCCAGAACCGCTGGTTATTCAAGCTATTTTTTCCTAGTGGCATTTTTCCATCTTCCAATAATAAAGAAATCTCAGTAAGGAATATTAGACTTGTCACGACTTTGTCTAGATTTGATTACTTTTTAGAGATGAACAAGCGGCCAAACCTCGATGGAGGCTTGGCTAGTTTTTTATAGAATGTTTTTGGTTGGATTTTTCTTATGAACTAACGACAATCAGTGGCTACCGTTTAACTTTACCGTTTCACATCCTCATCTATTGTTTTCACATTTAACACCTACTAACATAAGCAATACCTACTAACCCAAAGATTCGCTGGGGACCACGCCTGATCGATGGAGAGCCCTCATTCTTTTCTATATCTGGTGACGGACGCGTAGTGCAATGGGCGGTGATGCCGGGAGAGCTACAGGCCACAACCATCATCACGCTGACCTCCAACGTACCACCAATACCGGGACCCGACGGGACCATGCTCACTGTTAACAGTAAGCTTTACTCTCTCTAAAGTCTTCATCTACGTTCTTGATGCAGTTTTCGACCATCTTATGCAATCATTTCGACTTTGTCTTCTATCTATTGTCGACCAATAAGTATTTTTTTTTAAATCGTACGCCACTGTGCATTTGCTGGACCAGAACGCAGACAGTTGTCCAATTCTCTTCAACTAAATTCGTAAGTCCATAAAGTCCTTGCCATCCACAACTGTGCAGGTTGCGGTAGCTGCATCTGTTTCCACCCTGAGAGGACGGAGATCTTCATGGTGGGCACAGAAGACGGTATGATCCACACCTGCTCCCTTAAGTATAACCGGAACTACGTGCGCTCCATCCAAGGGCATCACATGCCCGTCTACAGGATACATTACAACAACTATAATAACAGCATCTACGCCTCATGTTCTGGTGATTGGAGAGTCAAGATTTGGGAGGATGGGAGGGAGTAAGTATCTGACATTCTTTTTGTCAAAATAAATGTTCATATCTAACATCCTGTAGTTGGCTGTTATTTCTTCATTCGCTCGAGTACTGAAAGGTTATTCAATTTTATGTCGCGCTTAAGTATAGTTATGTCACTAACTTCTTTGTAAAATGATAGAGGTGGCACGATATTTAGGTAGAACTTGAAATTGAGTAACCTTTCAATATTCGGGTATTTAAGCAATATTTTACAGGACGAAATGTCTAGCTTGTCAATAGCAATTACGACATCTCCACTATAGTAGTCAAAAAAGAACAAACAAGCACGTATTCCATGTGTCCTTTTTTTTAATTTTGAATCTATGATACGTTATTCTTTTCATTACACCAGTGAGCCCCTATTCATGTTCGAGCTTGGGTCTCCAGTGGGTGACGTGAAGTGGGCTCCATACTCCAGCACCGTGTTCGCAGCCTGCACTGCTGATGGAAAGGTAATGTTATGATGGAATAAATATCCAGTTTATTGGTAGAGATGGTAACTTGGTTTCTGGTTATTATATCCACGTCATTATCTACAGTACCTTTTCTACCATTAGTACCTAAATTAATATATTGTGGAATAACGAACCCATTTTCAGTCTACATAATTATATTACGTGCTGTTAGGATGGCGCTCCGGGAGTCCCTTTTATAAATGACACCACAAGTGCTGCTAATAATTTATTTATTTTCACTTCACAACTTTCGACTTACAATAATTACTGTGTGATATAAAACGGTGTTAATAGTTGAATAACTTTATCTGGAGTGACTCTATACACAACTAAGACGTATATTTTATTCTATATGGCCAATGGTGGGGGGTTATCCCTTAGTCGATAAATTATACTTGCGCGTATAAGTGCCACAGGATGTATCGATTGCTTTAATTGCAATTTACATGAATAGGGCTTTGTTCATAACAATGTAAGAGTGCTTAGATCTTTGTTAGTAACAATATAACGATTGTTTAGGTGGTAATTTAAAAGTATAGATCTTTGTTACCAATAATGTGAAGATTGTTTATATTGCAATTAAAAGTATAGTAATTCATTGTTAACAACAATGTAAGGATTGATTAGAAAATAATTTATAAGTATGGTTCTTTGTTAACAACAATGTAAGGATTGATTAGATTAGAATTTACAATAAGGCCTTGTTCATAACATCTCCCCCCTTTAGACTGAGCTTTATTTAAAATGTTTATTTTTATTACTATATTCTTTCTTAATAATAAAGCGAAGGACAGGACGTGTCATCAATTTGAAAATTAATCTGTAAATAAAACTCAGTTACATTTAAGTCACAAAACAAAATCTAGAAAGTCTTATATAACATGAATCTTAATAGTTAAAAAAAATAAATCGTTACATTTGAATATACTTGTGTAGTAAAGAAATAAAATTTAAAATTTAATCTTAATAGCTATACCATAAAAATAAAACAAAAACAAAAAATAGTTTTCTTATAAACTAGAGGTTTCTATTTGATTTATCTAAGTTTCTTATATGTATTTATTATCATTATATTTTTTTTTTGCCAAACATTTATGTTACCATAAATAAATTTAGACTCAAAATTCTCTGGGAGTGATAAGATAACTTTTGTTAATAACTAGGATTCACATGAAAGATTATTTATGGTTGTCTAAATTTATGGCAATGGACACATTAAATGCTCTTAACAGTTTTACATTCGTGAATATTATCTACAAAGGTGTGAGACAATCTGTCATCCGTTATTGCTACATATAGCTTAGAAGGGTAAATCAAAGCATAAGTTAAACAATGCTTAGTATCATGAGGAGTAAGCTGTGGCAAATTCTTGTAGAGGTTGAACTTTATAAAATTTATTAAAAGAACTTGAATGACAAACATTAGCTTGTTATTATAGTAACAAATTGTAAACTTAGATACGTCGATGATAGAATGTTCACGAGATACCTGGAACAATACTATGCTGGTTTTATTTCGTTAACATGATATTTAATGTGTTTTCTGTTAACCAGAAGGGTGACGTTGTTTTTACCATGCGTTTTGATTATTTTATAAGGTCCTTTCCATACTGGAGATAAGGCTTTTCGAAGCCTATGATGAAATTTTAAATAAACTAAATCACCAGTTTTATAAGATTTTTCACGTGCTGTTGAATCATAATAGATTTTTGATGTTTCTTTACATTTGTTCATATTTTGAATAGCTTTTTCACGAGAGTATCTCATCCGATACTGTAAAGCGCGAATGTATTCCTGATAAGTAATGTTATTGTTCGATTCATATGCACTACTAGGAATCGTCGGCTTATAACCGTATAAAAGTTCAAAAGGAGAATATTCTGTAGAACAATGTGGAGTTGTGTTGTATGATAGGATCGCTGTTGCGAGATAGCTATGCCAGTCGTCCTGGTTTTCATTAACAAATGACCTCAAATATTCTTTAAGGGTAGCATGACTACGTTCTAGTGCTCCATTTGTCTGTGGATGATAAGGCGTAGAAAACAGATTTTTTATTTTGAGTATTTCTGTTAATTGCCTAAATAATTCTGAGGTAAACGATGTACCTTGATCGGAGAGTATGATTTTGGGAAAACCGAATAACGAAAAGAAATGTATGAGATTGCGTGCAATTTCATCAGTGGTACAAGTAACCATTGGATAGGCGTTTGAAAATTTTGTTAAATCGTCCTGGAGCGTTAATATGTATTTAAATTTTTGGAGACCCGCTTCAGGTAAAGTGCCTACAATGTCAATGGCTAATCTTTCAAACGGCTTTGAACTTGTCGAAGTTATAATCATAGGTGCTCTATTGGAAGCTCGCAGTGGCTTATTAACTTGGCACATCTTACAATTTTTGACAAATTTTTCGATATCAGACCGCATACCTTTCCAATAATAGGAAGCTTTAATTCTACTTAACATGCGTTTAACACCGGGGTGACCAGCTATGGTCGTCCCATGATTTTCTTTCAGAATATTAGATATTTCAGCAGGGGTAGGATAAAGTAATTGATTTTTATAAATGTGTATTTTAATATTAGTGCCGTGGAAAATATATGAAATCATATTATAAATTTTTGTATAAACTAACCTTGTAAATGGTTCAGTAAAATCGGACAACGCTAATTCTTTCTGAGAATTATTTTTTAAAACAATTTCGTCTCTTAATTTGACAAGCAGATCATAAATGATTTTGTAACTCGTTTCGTCAAAATGATGAACTTTAGTAAATAAGAAATATAATATTTTGTCATTTTTACAATCGAGCATCTGCACTGTGTTAATTTCACGTTCACTGGCTCGATATTTCTCAGAATTCTCAGTCATTGATAACAATTGCTCACAATGTGGCATTGAATTATCTAAATCTAAAGAGACTGGACAAGCGATATACTTTTGTTTTGCTTTATGTAAGCTCTCGTTGTGTTCTTCAATTTTCGTATCGCAATCAGGTAAAGTCTTATTGTCCTGTTTTTTTAAATATTCCTCATAAGAGGTAGAATTATTTTTACGACTACGAGTGGTAACAGCGTTTACGGGATAACGAGATAGTGCATCGGCGTTACTATTGACTCTGCCGGGTTTGTAAACGATTTCATAATTATATTCTTCTAGCTTTAGTCGCCATCTTAATAGACGTCCGCCTGGATCTTTCGCGTTAAAAAGCCATGTTAAAGGACGATGATCTGTCACAATTTTAAATTTGTAACCATAGAGATAAGGTCGAAATGTATTAACGGCAAAAAGAATGGCAAGGAGCTCTTTCTCAGTGGTTGAGTAATTCCCTTCTTGTTTATTTAAAGTCCGGGACGCATATGCAATGGGTTTATCTTTACCGATCTCACCCTGAGATAAGACTGCACCAACGGCATAATTTGAAGAATCCGTTGTTACTATAAAGAGTTTAGAAAAATCGGGTATTGTAATAAAGGAGCTGAGATAAGCTTTTGTTTTAGAGTATTAAAAGCATGTTGTTGCTCATGAGCCCAATGAAAATTAACATCTTTTTTTAACAAAGATGTGAGAGGCTTTGTTATATGGGAGAAATTCTCAATAAAACGCCTATAATAACCTGTCAATCCTAGAAAAGATTTTACATCTTTTGGGGTTTTCGGTATTGGAAATTGAGAAATAGCCTTCACCTTATCTGGATTAGGCGAAACACCCTTATCAGTAATAACATGCCCATAAATAAGCAACTTCTCGGCGCAAAAATTCGCACTTGTCGGGCTGTAATTTTAAATTTGCCTGTCTGAGTTTATCGAATACAGATTGCAACTTCCGCATGTGAGATTCAAGATCATGAGAATAGATAATACAGTCATCCAAATATATATAACAATGGAGACCTTGTAATCCTGAAAGAACAAGATTCATCATTCTTTGAAATGTGGAAGGAGCATTTTTCAGACCGAAAGGCATTCTGGTAAATTCAAATTGACCTGAAATGCTATTGGTTGTGACACTGAATGCTGTCTTTTCAGTGTCTTTAGGATCTAACAATAACTGATGAAAACCTGACGCTAGATCAAGCGTGGAATAGTATTTGGAGTGACCAAGTTGATCTAAGATGTCTGTTATGAGGGGAAGAGGATAAACCTCAGAAACTGTGACATCATTCAGACGCCGATAGTCTATGACGATACGCCATTTTTGTGTACCGGAAGCGTCTAATTTTTTGGGTACTACCCACACTGGTGCATTCCAAGGGGAACATGAAGGGCGAATAATATTTTGATCAAGCATTTTCTTGATTTGTTTCTCAACTTCATCTTTATGTATTTCTGGAAACCGATACGACTTTACATGTATAGGGGCTGCATCTTTTATATTTATAGAATGTTTTACTACATCAGTATAAGTTAAGAGCTCGCCATCAAGATGAAAGATGTCTGTATAATTAAGAAGACATTTCATCAGAGCTTTCTTTTCTTCTGAATTTAAATGGAACACCTTATTTGCTCGAGAACCTTTTCAGACGATCAATATTTAAAGAACTTAATTGATTAATAGTTCTGATGAGCTTCGTTTGACTTAGAAGGAGCAAGGTGAAATGGTATAAGTTTAACTGGAAAGTCGTCTATTTCGACTTCAGATTCGGTAGTATTCAGAACAGAAACATTTATTCTGTTATTTGATTTTAAATTTACTATGCAATTTGCTAAAAATACACCATCACGAATTTTATGATCTAGTATTAAACCTTCTTTTATGTCATCGATATCTGACAGATTGGAAACTGGACACTCAATGACCGTTTCTGACCGTGGTGGTATGATATATGATGGTTTGCTATAACAAATAGGTATTTCATAACCTTCTAAATTAAGAGTGTTGGTAGAATACTGAACATCAATTTTAAGGTGTTGAATGAAATTACTACCAATAATTCCATCATAATCTAAATTGATCGTATCGTTAATCGCGTGAAACATAAATTCAAATGTTATTTTGCTTTTTGAAGAAACGCGATGTTCAAAATTGAGTTTAATGGACCGAGAGATTGGCAATAGAATCGTTGTCACTTAAGCCTTTAAGTTTTACAATTTCGGAACCAAGCACTGGCTTATTTTGTAAACTAGACAATTTTACAATAGATATAGTTGAACCAGTGTCAATTAAAAAACACAAAGGTTTATCGTTAACATTTGTTTTTAAATAAACGTGAGGTAGAGAAACTTTATTGTGCATATAATTAATAGTAAATGTTTCCTCACGTGAGCAATCCCTAGAAATAAAACTCGATTTATCACGAGATGAGGGACTGTCTTGAAAATTTGAATTAGTATTTATCTTTTTATTAAAAGACTTAGAAGTCTCTGTAAACGCATTAACCTGTGTTGAATATAATTTAGGAACACAGTGTGAAGGATTCAAAGTTTTATTTGCGCGAACCTGTGTTGGGGAAAATTTAGAACACAGTTTGAAGAACTCAAAGTCTTAATTGCGCGAACCTGTGTTGGGTAAAATTTAGGAACACAGTTTGAAGAACTCAAAGTCTTATTGCGCGAACCTGTGTTGGGGAAAATTTAGGAACACAGTTTGAAGAACTCAAAGTCTTATTTGCGCGAACCTGTGTTGGGGAAAATTTAGGAACACAGTTTGAAGAACTCAAAGTCTTATTTGCGCGAACCTGTGTTGGGGAAAATTTAGGAACACAGTTTGAAGAACTCAAAGTCTTATTTGCGCGAACCTGTGTTGGGAAAATTTAGGAACACAGTTTGAAGCTTTTCGTGCCATTTAAATATGAAGGTTTCGGCAGACACGAATCCGGAACCCTTTTTAGTTTAAAGTTTTAATGTTATCGAAAGACGCATCGACATGATGTACATTAGAGCGATTATTGTTCGACACGTTACTCGTATTCGGTGCAAGACCACTTGATAGTGTAGAGTAAGTGCATCGCGCAAGCTATTTTTAGCTTTAAGTTTACGACATTCATTTATTAAATGACCACGTTTTTTACAATATGCGCAAGATTTATTTGGATTATAGAAATTAGAATTTGTTTGCACTGAATTATTATTAAAATTACTCTGCGTATTAAAATTAGATGAATTTAAATGATATAAATTGGGATGCTTATTTTTATTTTTATAACATTCTGAAGCAATATGACCGTTTTTATTACATATTGTGCATTGTTTAGAGCGATTAGAAAGTTTAGACAAATTGTATTTTTTTCTTCTTCAATAGCATGTGTAATCGCTTCTGTTAACTTCTTTGGGTTCCTACACCGCACTATATGAGCAATATTAGAGTTCAACCCTAACAAGAATGTATTAAGAGCTAAATCCTCCATAGCGGCGAGGCGACCTAAAAGTTTTTATCACTATCGCAGCTGTAGTGAATGTCAGATTGTAGTCTAGTTAAACAAGATTCAACACGTATTGAAAATTGCATTACGTCTTCGGAAGGAAGTTGTTTGCAGTGTTGTAGATCAACTAATAAATGAGTGGAGTGTTTTTTCTCTCCAAACGTAGTTTTAAGAAATAGTTTGATCTCTGACCAATTATTGAATCTTTTTAAACAACAAGCTGCTTGAGCCTTCCCTTCCAACTGCGAAATGACATATTTACATAAAACGTTCTGTTGTTCTGTAGTGGCTAAGGCTATCGCATTTCTCACAATTTGTTAAAATGCGGGTAACAACTCGCGATCTCCATTGTATGGCTTGATGAATTTAGTGAGAACTGAAAGAGTGATTTTGTCAGCCATTTTAATATTTGTACTTTATTTAATACTACAGAACATCAGACAAACATGCACAAAATGTAAAATGTGTAAAGTTGAAAAAGTTGCAATTTAAAATTAATAAAATATAATGAGTTAAAATTAAAACAATGACTTCAGTAAAATTAAACGTTTTTTTTTTGAAAATTGAAAATCACTGCACCGATTATTATTTTCACAAATTAATTTAAAAACACTGAATGAATTTTGAAAAACTCACAGTAAAATCGTAGCACACGCGAGCATTCTGGAAGTTGCGACGCACTTGGAATGACTCAGGGAGTCGTATTTTACCAATGCGCTTCGTCACGTTGCACTGCACACACACGGTGTGCCCAGAATATGTGGCTGATGAGCAGTCTGTAGAACCTTGATGAATAGGTCCTTGAGTGAAGCGGTGATGCGGACTCACACTGTAAAGTGGAGACTTACCGTCGACCACAGGGCAGCTAAGGTGTTCGGCGTGATGCGGGCTCACGCTATACAGCGGAGGCTTAACGTCGACCACGAGGAATGCAGCAGTGCGGGCTTAGGCTTTATGAGGAGCCCAAGACTTATCGTCGACTACTCCACCAATAGGACTACTATACCACGGAGCCAACAAATGTTATGGTGCAGACGAGTGGAAATAAATTCGCGACGCCTACACCTATAGATCCCAGTACTCACGTATTTTCCTAGGATACCACTTCTGACACCAAAATTTGTTAGGATGGCGCTCCGGGAGTCCCTTTTTAAATGACACCACAAGTGCTGCTAATAATTTCTTTATTTTCACTTCACAACTTTCGACTTACAATAATTACTGTGTGATATAAAACGGTGTTAATAGTTGAATAAATTTATCTGGAGTGACTCTATACACAACTAAGACGTATATTTTATTCTATATGGCCAATGGTGGGGGGTTATCCCTTAGTCGATAAATTATACTTGCGCGTATAAGTGCCACAGGATGTATCGATTGCTTTAATTGCAATTTACATGAATAGGGCTTTGTTCATAACAATGTAAGAGTGCTTAGATCTTTGTTAGTAACAATATAACGATTGTTTAGGTGGTAATTTAAAAGTATAGATCTTTGTTACCAATAATGTGAAGATTGTTTATATTGCAATTAAAAGTATAGTAATTCATTGTTAACAACAATGTAAGGATTGATTAGAAAATAATTTATAAGTATGGTTCTTTGTTAACAACAATGTAAGGATTGATTAGATTAGAATTTACAATAAGGCCTTGTTCATAACAGTGCGTACCTCCTTCCGAAATGAAAAAGCTTTTATTGAAAATTCTCCATAATAATTGGGTGGGTACTTGCCAACTAGTCAATACTTTTTTCGAACTGTCAAAACGACAGTTTTCTATGAATTTTGTACGAGATTTTGTATTGACGTCTCGTTTTTTAGCGTCAAACTAAAATTAAGTTGGTTATAAAATCAATTAATGAAAGTGGGTTTTTTTTAATATTTTATTGTATTGAACAATCGAAGGAACTCAATTAATCACTATGGCCAATCCAACGAATCATTCAAAGAAGAAAAACCTATTTTACGAGCTATAATAAATCAAAGTAAACCTATAAAAACAAAATACAGTCCGACATTAGAAAAGTACTACGAACCGGTACCTACCTACTTACTTAAGCATTTCAAAGAGGCGTTTAGTATCTAAAAATAACATTTCCTTGAACACCGTCGCCATAAAGTTGAATATCAAAAATTCAATATTCGCTTTCACAGATACTGATACATTTATGTCCATACAAGTAGGTTAATGTCTTCGAGTTATTTCACTGTTTCTACATCTGATAGATACAGATACCCATAAAATATCGCTGTCAATTATCACGATTGATAGACATTTGCATGGCCTGCATGGCTGAAGGGAATAAATTGAAACTGAAAACGCCTGAAAAATTTGAACTAAATAATGTAATAATTAAAACAAATTTCTACAATTAAAATGAAAATTTAAGACAACCACGCTATGAAATTAACTACACAATCATCATTTTAAACCTGGGATTAAAGCCGTCGGGAAATATATAAACAATCTAGACAACAACAATGAATTCAAGGCTCTCTACAATTGATTTCTATTATTATTTCTCCAGGTGTACGTTTACGACCTGAACGTGGACAAATACAGGCCGATATGTGTGCAAGCAGTAGTCTCGAAGAAGACAAAGAAACTCTCCAGGGTTGATTTTAACTCGAAACTGCCAGTCATCGTTTGCGGAGATACGAAGTAACCAACCTTTGTACACATTTTTCCTTATAACACGTTTGTCTATGTTAACTATGTTAAATCTAAGGAACTTTATTCACGTTGTTGAGTCTCTTTTGTGGAAAACGCTATGTTACCTCACCCACAAAAGGGTACAGGACTCGAGTTCATAGATGGCGCCACCGTACGTTTTACGTCATTGCGTGGATACTTAGGACCTTACAAAAATGAAACAAAATTATGCGTCACGCATTGATAGTATGAATAATGGTTAACATTTAATTACTTCGAAAGATATGACATAAAGATTAGCTAGGCATGTTATGAGCTAATCATACAAAAAAATCTAATTAAAAAAACATTTAAAACATTAATATCAAACAAATATCTAAAAAGCGATTCTCAGAATTTGTAGTGTTGTCCTTTTCTAACATTTTTACTCCAGTGTGTGATCGACTATTTCGTCACAAATCTCATAGCCTCCATAGCTCAGGGGTTAGAGCACTGGTCTTGTAAACCAGGGGTCGAGAGTTCAAATCTCTCTGGGGGCATCGGGTAAAAACTTTTTGATTCCCACTTTTTATGATATTTTTGACATTTTTACAATGTTTTTAATAAATAATTTGTTTACTTTCTAGGGGCACGTGTCACGTACTCAAGTTATCACCGAATTTAAGAGTAATGTGTAAACCGCCCAAAAAAGCCCAAGGAATTGACCAACGAACACTACAGGTAATTAATTTTATTTATTTACACCTTTTTTAATTTTTACGTTGGAATTATCAATAAGGTATTGTTTTTTTTCTTATGTCTGTCGTTACAAAAATCAATGAATGACATCGCAGCATGACGATCACGACTGATTCATAGCCGTATTAATATTAATGTATTGTATTGTTTGTTTTTTATTAGATAATGAAACTGGACAAACTCCTAAGTTTAGTCCGCGACCCGCCATTCCAAACCGGAGTAGTCGATGAGAAGTTTGAAGACGACTGAAACCGCAAATGCCCACAAAATGTATTCCTAGCTATACTTAATAAATAATTTCTAAAATAAAACACATATTTATTTGTATTTGTATTAATTATTCTAATAAAGCTTTGAAATTAAATTTTAAACTTAATCTAATACAATGAAAAGTGCTCAAAAAGACAGGCACGTTGAAAATGCACTTTAGGATAAACTCTCAAAACGAAACAACGCCATTTTGAATGGACGCCATTTTTCTTAATGGCCTGTACATAGACGCGAGTTACAACGCTGGACCATAATAAATTAATAAATAAAATAAAAAAACCACGCTGTACCATAAACGCTATACAAACATTTTAGCAATAAAAACAACTCCATAGCTGCCATGCAAACTAAAATCACCCTTAAAATCATAACAGTAAGTAGACGTACTATCTTCGTATCTGACGTGATATCGGTCCTTAGAAGCCATTGTGAAATAAAGATCATAGATTTTATGTGAGACTAGAATAATATCAAAAGAATGGCCACTCACTATTTGTATTAATTTTGACAAGTCTACTAAGATCACAAGAATTCCAAAATTTGTTTTAATATATTATTAAAAATAATTAAAACTATGCTAGATAATTAAATTTCATTTTATAAGTAGTTATTATTACTACTTACTTTTATTTCATACTCTTTTTATAAATAATCTCTTAGATTTTTATTCTTATCTACGTTATTGATATCTCAAAATATTTTTTTATGTAACAATTTAGTTGTGATCATATTTAATCTGTATTTATATACAAAAACAGCATTTTCATATATTAAACAATTTGAAACACGTCGTATTCTTTCAAAATCAACCGAATTACTTTCTAGACATTTTAGTTCATAATTAATATTTCGATTTCCTACAAAATAGAAGTAAATATGCCGATTAAAATTAATTGTAAAATCTCTTAACTTAAATACAGCTACTTATTTACCGATGCCTTAAAACTAGTGACTAGTACTCACGTAATTGCATTTACGTGAACAGCTCACTCAAAAACAATTAAAAAACAAATAACAATAAACGCGATCACGAGATTACTTTGTTCAAGAGACAACTTATTTGATAAAATGCCATAATAGTTTTAACAATAAACTTTTTTGTGTCCCTATATTATTGTATAGTGTTAATGACTAGTGTAGAACAATGTTTTGTGCAAGTCTGCAGTTTTACTAACTTAAGGATAAAGTAACTTAGGACCAAGTTTGTCGCACCTCTCCACTGCGTTGGAACCTAATTTCAGATCCAGGAAAGCTCTAGCGTCGTTCGGAGCTGGTGCTTGTCGACCCGCAAAAGTTATCTGCAAGAAGGATATACAATTATTACTATTCTACATTTAAATATGTATTTTCTATTATGTCTTATTTACTGGAATTACGGAGAAGCATATCAACAGTAATGTGGCCTCTTTTTATTAAATTTCCTGGTCAAGATATACTTTATTGTATAAGGGCACAATTTTTTTTAATGGGCTCAATTACTATAATGAGAAAATTAAGTTCATTCAAGTAACGACTTATTAATAAAATAAAACTTAATTTTTAAAATCAAAATGACCTGTGCTAAAGGATGCAAATGTCTCTCGGGGAATTCTCTCTGATGAGCCAGCACCCAGTCCGCGGGCCACATGGTACCATTTCTAGCTGTGAACGGCAGTATCAGAACATAGACGCGATTAGTCGCAGAGAACGCCACTCTATAGTAATGTCCTTTAGTCGCACGCTCCCACACGAAGCCGTCGGCGTCTGCACCACCTCGCTGCAGCCAAGATACGCGAGACACGTCTGAAGCATGGATGCCGATTTCCACGTATTCTGCCCATGGAAGGACGTCTCCCCTGTAACATTGATTTGGAAGTTGTGTTTGAATTTGAAATGGTTGACATAAATGATAGCTATAAAGTTAAGTGATCTGAACCCATACCTCCCCAAGCGGTCACCGGTGACCGCTCTCCAATAACTACATTATAGACCTTATTTCCAATGTTTAGAGACTACTTTTGTATGGACAAATTTAGGGGATGAATTTCAAGGAGTTAACACACTATTGTACTAACTATTACATTCTCGTATTGGAGACTCGGTTGTCAAAGAAAAAAAAACTATTACATAATAAGAGTGATCACGCCTTTTATTCCCGAAGGGGTAGGCAGAGGTGCGCATTATACGACTGTACAATGTAACAACCACTTTTCACTATTTATGTTATGAGTCCCATGCAATAGGGGGTGATACTTAATTTAAAATAATCTAATTATGTTTGTCCTCCGGTGACAGGAATAGGAATAGAAATTGACTTCCTATGGAGATGAATGGCAAAATAATATAATGTAGATCTAAAAAACCCCTGTCAATACGCACCTCATAACAGCACCAAGTAGGGAAGTTGTTTCCAGCCAACACCTCGCACCAGCTTGCAACAGCGCGCGCAACACGTGCCCTGCAACACGTCGCATGTTGCGGCGACAACATGGCGGCGTGTTGCGCCCTGATAGTATGTACGAAGGTGTGCCTTGTACTGATGGGTAGCAACGCTGTGTGGCAAGAGAAAATATACAAGTAGTTTTTAAATTGAAATTATCTTATTGATTTGACTAAGAAATATTAATAATATCAAACCCTAAGGTTGACTGGTAGAGAATGCCATACAGCATTAAGTTCGCCTTATGTGCCATAATAAAATTTTGTACATAAAAGAATAAATAAATAAAATATTATTCACAGAAATATAAATTAGGCTATGGCTGGATTTTAGAATTATTGAACTCTAAACAAACAGCATCAAAATCATTGCATCTGTTTGTCAGCTGTGACTGCATAGATGGTTAAAATAGCTAGGTAAAGAGAGCCATAAGTAGAATAATACTTGTTTAAAAACAATACCTGTGCCTCCCTCTTGCACCCAAACCACTGCACTCTACCATCCTCCCTGACAACTGCTTTCACTCCCAACTGTTTGTACATAGCCACCCTGTAATCCCTCATGTGACGAGATGCCCTCTGCTTTGCTCCTGGTGTCTTCAACACTCCTCGGCCAGCGCTTAGTTTGCCATCAGATAATTGAACCTGGAAAATGTATGTACACTTTATAATTCATGTCTTTTTACAGACAGTGATATATGAGGATAGATAGATTAAAAATTATATCGAACTTACCTTAATATTTTTTACTGCAGTTTGTAGATAAAGTGACTCAGGAAAAGGCAATGAGAATGGTTGTGGTAATTTCTGCAGTACTGCAGTTTTAATCAGCAATGCATGCTGGCCATGAACAGCATCACAGACCTTGCCTGAAGCATCTTTACAGTACCGCAGTGTCCAATCAGCATAGTTCCACTTTACATGTTGACATACTAAGTGAGAATTCCCCACCCCAATAGCTACAGCCTGTGTTGGGCTGGCCATAGCCGCCGCCATCGCCAGCTGCAGCACACGACGCGATACTCTCGTGGAATCAGGTACGAACAGTACATACTCAGTAAATATTTGAGTCAAAGGATTGAAGTCCTGCGGCGAAGCACTTAGCTTCAACTCTAACGATAAAACTTTAACATTTCGTAGAGTCACATTTGTCACAGAGAACGGAAATGGTGGATACGGTGTGGTCTCGCATACCACCACCACTGGCATGTTAGGGAAGGCTGATACGAAAGATTGCACGCTGTCAGCGATATCATTCTCGAAATCTTCGAACTGGCGAAAAACTACAGTCATCAATTTAGACAAGTGTCGTGAGGAACGAGGATGCAAAGGGTTTGGAGGCACAGTCACTGGAGAAATTGGATAAATCGGCGGAAAGAAGTAACAACATATCGAGGCTGCAACTAATATTGTGAAAACTATATAGAACTTGAATGTTAAACGACCGCGGAAAAGACGATAGAGCATTATTTTCATTTATAAACTTGCACATTTCAGTCATTACAGTACATTAATTATTTATTTTCATCGAAAATCGAACTTATATTTTTACAATCGCCTGAAACAGCACTTTGTTTTGACATTCATGACAGACAAGTGTTGCTGTTTACGACCTAATCTCTATCGCCATATCGCGAATTTTATTATGAGCAGTTACAGTTAGATTATGACAACATTATTGATCGCAGTTTTGAATATTTATCTGGACTTCAATATACCTCTTTTAATCCGATTAAGATTTTAATACAAACTTTAAAAACCTTCCTAAAATACTTTTCACCAACAATAACACTGAATGTGATTGACAGTGACAATTCAAGCGAATCATCCCAAATTGCGCATGTCACACGTCATGACGTCACGTTACGTCAAAAAAATTTACGTTTACGATTTCGACCCGAGTTTTGGAGTTCATTTAATAATTTGGTTAAATTAAATACTCTGTAAAAATGGAAGATAACAAAGATTTCGAAACCTTAGAACCTTCATTAAAAAATGTTGTTGAACAGACATCTCTGAGGTGGATATTCGTAGGAGGGAAAGGCGGTGTTGGTAAAACAACATGCAGGTACGGAATTTATTAACAATGCAATGCTATTATCGGTGCGATCTAATAAAATTCTAATAGAAATTGTTAATTTTAGCTGTAGCTTGGCCGTTCAACTGGCGAAGGTTCGAGACTCTGTCCTCATTATCTCTACTGATCCAGCCCATAACATTTCTGATGCATTCGACCAAAAGTTCTCGAAGGTAGGTTATCTTCCCTAATTAGAAAATTTATTGAACTGGAAATAGGTTTTTACTTCATAAAACATGAAATTGCGTCATATCTTACATCATTAATCATTCTGTTTACATTTTTTTAAGTTAAGATCACTACAATTGATATTAATCGGTTTAAAGGATTCTAATAAGAATACCATAAAGCTAAGCAGTCTAATTGACAATGTAGGCTTAAAAAATTAAGAAGCTCTTGCTTCTGTACACAAAATTACTAAATATAAATTAACAATAAACTTGTTTGTAAACATTTTTCTTTGTCTTCTAGCCTAGAAAATTACTTATCACACTTATAACTGAATTTCAGGTGCCAACGAAAGTAAAAGGCTTCAATAATTTGTTTGCAATGGAAATTGACCCTAATGTAGGGCTGACAGAGTTGCCAGAGGAATATTTTGAGGGGGAAACAGAAGCAATGAGGTTGGGTAAAGGAGTTATGCAAGAAATTGTTGGTGCCTTCCCTGGTATTGATGAGGCTATGAGTTATGCAGAGGTAATTCAATTATAGTTTGGTAGGAAAAAATATAATAATCCTATAGTATATGAGCATAATATGTATAAGACCTAAATCTATTGTTTTTTATTTAAGTTTTATTGAATTGTTAAACATCTTAATTCTGATACATCAATATCCAAATATTTTAATTTTATACCTCAATCACAAATGTATTTGTATGACATTCAAAAGTGTAAATTTAAAAAAAAGATATGTAGAGAGAGCCAAGACTCTTGTCTACTTTAAACACTAAACAAATATTTGTTTCTGCATTGTTTGTAGGTAATGAAACTGGTGAAAGGTATGAACTTCAGTGCAGTAGTGTTTGACACTGCACCCACAGGACACACTCTGCGTCTACTGTCTTTCCCACAGGTTGTGGAGCGAGGACTCGGAAAACTTATGAGACTGAAGTCTAAGGTTAGTTAAATAAATACTTAATTTTCTTAGTTTTATCATGTCTAGTATTGTTACCCAATGAGATTTCCTTCATTGTGTCCATAAAGACCATGTAAGAATAAAAGGCTACTGTTGAACATCTCAAAATTAAAAAGAAATATAATTAGTCATTGTTTCATCACTAGCATTAATTGCCAATCTAAATACACGACATTGACTTAATTATTCAATTGTGTTAAGGTCAGAATTTTAAACTACTGTTTGTTTTCAGGTTGCCCCATTCATCAACCAAGTAGCAACACTGTTTGGCTTAGCAGAGTTCAATTCAGACATGTTTAGCAACAAAATGGATGAAATGCTTTCTGTTATAAGACAAGTAAACACTCAGTTCAAGGATCCAAACCAAACGACATTTGTGTGTGTCTGTATTGCCGAGTTTCTGTCACTATATGAGACTGAGCGTCTGGTACAGGAGTTGACGCGGTGTGGTATCGACACACACAATATCATCGTCAACCAGCTGTTACTGCGAACGTCAGCGCCATGCGACTTGTGCGCGGCGAGACATAAAGTTCAAGAGAAATATCTAGAACAAATCGCAGACTTGTATGAAGACTTCCACGTTACAAAACTGCCTTTGCTGGACAAGGAAGTTCGAGGCGCCGCCGCTGTGAACGCGTTCTCCGAATACCTGTTGAACCCGTACAAGCCGCCCGCGCCAGCCACGTGATCTGCCCACTAACGGCCTGGTACTGTGTGTGTATCTCAGTGCAAAGAATTTTTATCCAGTTTCAATTATTCGTTTCTAAATTAAAGTTATCTTTGTGAGTGAAGGTGCTATTTGTCACAAGCTTGAATTTATACTGTTGCTAGTTACGTGACCACAATTCTATAATCCTGGGGTTTGAAGATATAATTTGTATTTATTGTTACTATATTCTCATCACATTGACAGTTAAAGTCATATAACTCTAGAAAATAAATGTTATAATATATACTTATTTTATTATTTATTAAAAATAAAATATGGTTGTGTGCTAAAAATCTTTATTATTATTATAATATAAAAAAATTCATACTGATTTAAAACCAAAATCATAATGCCAATGGATTAACTAGTAAATAACTACTCTATCCTTCAAATATGGCAATTTAAGTTATAATACATAACTATAATTTAGTGTATGTCAACTAGAACAAATACTGATTGTTTGGATCTACATTAAGTTAATTTCTATTCCAATTAAAGAAATAACAATAATTTAAACATTATCTTGAGTAACAACTAACAGCCTATGGCAGTGTTTGTTCAAATACCATAAATTATATTTAAATACATGTTTAATACCTATCATATTAAAATGCTTTCGACACAACGTCGTCATAAGTATAAAACAATTAAATTAATACAACCATTAAGCACAAAATGAAACCCGTAACTTGGTAAAAGAACTTTACAACTCACACAGTAAAACATTCCAATAAAATGTAACATTATAAACGTCTTTCACATTCGCGTGTATTATATAATATCTCGATAATTTCAACCGAAACAATACAATTATATTTATTATACAACAGTCTGTCCAAGCATAATAGTCTGAGGGCCTCGGACAAGATAATATACTCTGACCATAATATTATACTACTATTCTACCATCTCAACATTCATAATATATAGTAATTTGGCAGATTAATAATAAAATGCACTCGATTTCACTAATTAACCAACAATTTATTACAATGACCTAATTTAAAAGAAATATTTGGTTTTAACTTTTGTAGGAAAAAACTTACTTTAAAATAGTCTAATGAACATTATGACATTTAAAGTACCTTTAATTGATCTAAAAGAATCTCATACACTGGGTCACAAAATCACAGTTGGTTTATAAATACATTTTCATTGCTTTGTTCTGGCTTTTATAATTAATACAATATGAGTATTAAATCAAAAATATAGTGAATAAATTCTATAAATAACTCGCCATGTTAGGGCAAGTGTACAACAGTACAACAATTAAGTATTCTCATTTAGAATATTTGCTCAGGTACTAATTGCGAAAACTTCCTTATTATAGACTCATGTCATCCCTTTCTTGTGTCAACAAAATCTCTGAAAACTAATATTTATGATTTATAAAAGTATTTATGTAAGTTAACGAGGCCCCCATTGATCCAGTCCATATAAAATTACGAGCTAATGTAACCGTTTGTGTCAACTAGAGCGGTGTTGTGTGGGTAGGTGCCAGGCGACCAGGGTGGCGCCGAGCACAGCGCCCAGCAGCGCCGCGGCGCACGCGCCCGCCTCGAACAACAACTTCGGAGTGAACACGCCCCATATCATCAGGTGCCGGCAGTGAATCGTTGCTGAGATCGCACACGCGAATACCTGATAAAAAATTAAATAATGGAATATATTATAAACTAGCGACCCGCCCCGGGTTCGTACGGGTGCAATATACATGTAGTAAACGTATAAACCTTCCTTAACTCGTCGAGTACCGTATTTATAGACACAATTAAAGAACAATAGGTTGCGGTCACCAGTGACCGCTTGGTGTTTGACAGTTTAATAATCACTCTATCTATTAAAAAAAACCGCATCAAAATCCGTTGCGTAGTTTTAAAGATCTAAGCATACATAGGGACAGACAGACAGCAGATAGTGACTTTGTTTTATACTATATAATGATATAAATTACAAGTTTATGACATTATCAAATTGGATATTTAATTTTCCTGTGTGGTAAAAAGAATCAGTTTTGTACAAGACACTTACTCGAATAGCAAAGCATAGCATAAATTTCAGGCACAGAGAGAATACGGCGGCTAGTTGTGTGCGAGGCCCTACTCGGGCCGCTCCATTCTGACCCCACAGTGCTAGGAGGGGAACTGCGGCGCCAAATGCTAATATAGTACCTGCAGGAGACAAAAGTATTACCATTAGTTACCTGAAATGTGGAAGTTCCGTGTCTTGGGATACCAGTTACACCCTATAAAATACTAAATCTGGTTAAGAACGGCAGTTAAAATTAACTTTGCATAACTAGCTTTCCAGGAACAAATACTGAAATGCTAGAACAATAACTTACCGAATAATTCAAGTGAGACCAAAGAAGCAGTAATAGGAGGTCCAATGTCCAAATAGTTCGGGTCACCAGCATGGAAGGCAGGGGCCCATCGCACGTGGCCCAGAGTCGCGTGATGGCCCGTGCCGTAGAAAGCGTACGACGCCAGTAATGCCCACATACACGCCACACTTGAATTGCATCGAGTTGCCAAAGCTGAGGATAAAGTATTTCATGAATATGCAACAATTTTTTCACTGAACGAAGTATTATATGTATAAGAAAATAACTTACAAAATTTCGTTGACCCTTCACTCTTCAGCCTAGCTACCAGGTTGAGAGCTAAACATGCCAGTACTAAGGATATCACAGCGGCAGGAGCGTACGACACGCCGAGTACTAACGTGTTGGCGACAAACAACATGAGGCCGCCCGCCATCAGAGGCAGCGTGGCGCCACGACCCTCGCGCTTCCACAGCAGCGCCAGCATCACCGCCAGCACCAACCACGCGGCACGAGCCAACAGCTTCGCCCGGCTGGGCGACCCCAGTGAGCCATAACCCGTCGCCCAGTGAGAACAGGCCAGCAACCCCGCCACTACAGTACAATAACCCCGCCAGCCTACATGTCTCCTGCATATCGCTACCACAGCTGCTACTGTCCCCATCCCCAGCACCAGCGCTGGCCGCGACGATTGCCCCGTCGGCACGCCCGCCCCAGCCGTCCAACAATCACCTTGTTCTTCTCTGCAACCGCGATACGACCTAGAGGCTGCAAACGCTACTCCACAGGCGATCCAATATAACAACGCGGTAGCGTTGCCAATATTCCAAGCCATCAAACCCAACACAGTCATACACAAGAACGCGAGAGTAGCGCCTTCTTCTATAATGTAACTATTCGACACTAACACTGCCGCAGATGCCGCAAGAGCCGCGCGAGCGAAACGTTCATAGAACTGAGAACGTCCCTCGTACCACCGCTGCGCAATCCCATCCCAGTGCATGATTATTAAAACGCAAGTTATACTGGCTGATATCAAACCAGTACTCAAAATAATAGCGTGTTCTAAATCTTCTAGGAACTTGAAATAAAATGCTGTGTAACACACGCCGATGCAAACAGCCATGGAAATGAGCCCAGTCGGAACAAACGTACTAGCGAACACATTAGGAAGGCGTTCCATAGGAATACCCTCAGTAATCAGCCAGTTGAAAAATATGGCCAAAAGAAGAAGTAGAAGAGCTCTAAGCATAGACAGGGAATCAAACTCGACCCAAACTTCTCGGAAAACATTTCGCACATTGTCGACGAGAGCTCTGAAACAAAAATAAGCTTTATTACATTAAGCTAACATTCAAATTCATTTGTTTACAAAACTTGTAAATTACCTAACATCCGCTGCGTAATTGTTGAGGTCGTCATCAGTTTCAATGGAGGCGGCTTTGTGTAATTGTTCTCGCGTCGCGTTGATAAGATGCGTGAGCCGGTCGAGCGACACTTGCTGGGATTCCTCGCCGTAGCGAATCATGTATTGTGTTATCTGTTGACAGTGGAATTATATTGTTTAATTATGCTGAATATATGGTAATGAGCAACTGCACAGTATTTGTCACACAAGATAAAATTCTAACATTTTCTACAGTAAAAAACAAACAAATCATGATAAGAGAAAAGTTTTCTTAAAAGCCATGTTTCCATAGCAACAGTCTTTATTTCCTGGCAATAAGGTTGGTTTTAGAAAAGCAATAACTTAAGCAGCATTTACTATTCTAACTCACCTGTTTTAGATTGTTGGTAATATGTAGCAATGTATGACTTTTGCTGGTTTCTGGTAGAACAGGTAAGAGTAGGTGTCCTAGTGAAGGGGCTGGGGGAGGTCTTCCTAACGCCGCATTGAGTGTGGGTGCTAGATCAGTCTGCTGCACTTCTTTCCCTATCATCACATCCACGCCAGTTCCCGCCAAACCAGCTCCTCGGTAAGCAAAGAACGCCGCTGTTCGTTCAGCTTTACTTTCGCCTCCGTGGTCACCTGATAAAAGTAATAATTATGTTGACAATTTTGAGATGTTAAAAAAAAAATAGCCATGCAAAACCTATCGCACTGAATAAAAACAGAATAATATCAGTTCATATAGATTGTTAATATCAAAAATAAGCTAGAAAACTATTTGTTACAAAGTATCAAAAACAGTATAAAACAATTGAAAAAAGAAATAAGCACACATTTATCAAAAATTGTAATTCTAGCTACAATCTATCTATGGACACAAATTCCAACAAGAATGCTTTAGATTCACACAAATAAAATAGCAAAATATGTAGCCTGAAGAAAAACAGTAAAATGAACACACAAATCTGCTACAATGCAAGCTTGTTACTATTATACCTACCATCTGAGTTGGTCCACTCATGTGAGTCTAAAACAATGTGAAAAGTTTGAATAAAAAATATAACATTAGAATAAATGTGCCTATGGATCTTATTCAACCTTGTAACTAATTCATACTTTTCCTCATCTTTACAGAGCCCATAGATAAATACACAAATATTTTATGAGATTTAATTAAATACATACTTTTTATAACATTATGAATAACATTTGCTATTTTCAACCGACTTAAAAAAAGGAGGAGGTTCTTAATTCAACTGTATTTTTTAAAAATTTATACTTTACATTAATGCCTGAATCTCAACAACAAAATGATTTTTATTCTCTTAAACTGTCAAACACCAAGCGGTCACCGGTGACCGCGACCTATTGTTCTTTAATTGTGTCTATAAAACCGGTACTCGACGAGTTAATATTAAAATTCAAAGCGATAGGATGAAATATGTAAAATACAGCTAAGATTGAGAAGTGTCCAAAACTGTAGATTGTAATGTAACTCACCATTTTCTGTCATGCCATGGTCTCCAACCACAAACAGAAGAACATCAGATGGCAACATGGAGATGACTTTCTTCAACCTTGCATTAGTCTCATCTAGCTTCCTCGTCATCTCAGGGTGGTTAGGCCCATATCTATGACCTGCATGGTCTACTCCAAGGTAATGAGCCACTAGCAAGTTCCAGTCATCTCTTCTCAGTTCATCATATATTTTTGCATCAACTTCTGCATGGGCAAAAATAGAGATGATTAAAAAAAAATCATTTTTGAAGTTTGAAGAATAAGACGACAGTTAATGAAGCTAAAGAGGTATGTAAGAATCCTAATCCTACTCCAATAGGAGACAAGCATGAGGTTGTGTATGAATTGTTGAAATTATTTTAAGATTTTATTTTAATAAAGAACATCCTTATTAAGCTGTATTAGAACATAATAAGAATAGACTGCAAGTAATTTACAGCATTTACTATCTGCTTTACACAATCTTTGAGGAAAAGATGTAACTTTTAGCTAAGGAGTAAAATCCCTAGCAGTATATAATAAACAATATAAACCATTCAAGATATCGGTAAATATTATAGCAGGTATTTTTTAGTATTTACCATTGTCAACAGTGTCCAGGTCCCAAGTATGGAATGAGTACATTGCATGTGACCTCAACCAGCGCTTTGGGAGCAGCCGAGACCAAGTATCATCTCCAAGCAATACCGCCCGCCCTCCATTTTTTGTCACCTATACCAAAGATAACATTTGAGGACAATGATAAGATTAATTCATTATCACAAATTAGTAGTGATAGTTTTTAATCATCTAACTCACTTGATCAATGATATTGTCTTCCTGTAATTCCATGGCTGCAAAATTTGAGCTTGCGTCAATAAATGTCGGCAGTGAGCCTGTAGCGAGCGCCTTCACCCGCTGCAGCGTTGTAGTGGGCGGATCAGCCATGAACCGGTAGAGGCGCGTGCTGTCCGGCCAGCGGTCCAACATCTCACGCATTACTGGCAACCGATTCTGATAAGGCAACGGCTTCACAATACTCTCATCATACTCCGTAAAATCATACCGAAGTGCGTCAACTAGTAAAAACACCACTCTAGACTGCTTCGGAACGCAAGCCAGCGGTCCACCAGGCACAGCCAATATACGTCGGATTTTCTCTTCTTCATTGCAATAACCTTTCACGGTAGAATTTTCATGTCCATCACAGCCAAAGTTATCAATTGGTACACATTCAGTCACATCACTCAGTGTTTTACGGGACAACAGGAATCCATGTCCGAACATGAGAACCGCTGATAGAATCAAGTAGGCAAACCATACTAAATATAAAATAAAATTCCATTTTTCTTTCATGATTGTAACAGTCTAACGGAAATAATTAGTTTTTCTATTCTAATTAACTAACAAAATTAATTAAAATTGGTGTCCAATCCATTGCATTTACCAAAATTGCAATGACAATTTGACTGACAGTGACAACTGCTGTTTGACAGATACAGATTACAACATGTTTGTTTGCCAGGGAAAAATTAATAGAATGCCTCAAAAAAAATAAAAAATATTTTTTAAATTCCAAGTGCTAAGTTAATAAATCTCTAGTTATTTATTCTTATAATAACGACTAGTTATATTTAGGTAATCCCCTTTTATTTTTTTATTAAGTGACAGTGACATTAATCTTAGTCAAAAACGTTTTTCAATAGACAACAGCAAGGCGAGAAATATTACTTTTTTTGACTTTGACATTTTCAATTTTCATCACTTCTTTAATTTTGCATTTTTGCTAAACAACGTAGTTTTATCTAAAGAATCTCGTAAGCAATACTCTTACATATCTTACATTTAATTATATTCTTTACTATCCAAGGTTAACTTTACCTCTTCAATAGTGTTCGTACTTTACGTTTAGCGGTAAGCTTCCGTGTCTTCAGTACTTTCAAACTTTTCTAACCTTGACGTGAATCTATGATAGCAAGTAAATAAATACAGTACGGTTATCTATCTGATGCATATCGCACTTAACAGTAACAAATAGTATGTGTTGTATGAGCCGGAGTATAAAATGTCTGCACCATCAAAAGTCAACAAGGAAAACTTCCGCCTCCTGGATTTGTCTAGCGACGAAGAGTCTGAAGACTTGCAGCTAGAAATAATTCCAAGCAGAAAGAAGAAAATCACAAGGTTCGTATTAAAATAAGTTAAATATATAGGAGTTATTCATGAAACAAGAACCTAACCTTTACTTTGGTTAGGTGTTTTACGATTGGAGATTGTTATACTTATAATATGGACTTGAATTACTCAATAAGTAATTATTTTATTAACATGAAACTAAATCCAAAAATGCATCTATCTGATATTATTCACCTTATTTGTTTAGATATGCAATGACTGAATTGAAACCATTTAGTTTCAAAGAGAATTTATAGTCTTACTCTCAATAACAATGACAAACTTTATGAATTTACATTAGTCTTAGGAGGATTAGGTGTGATTATCAATAATAAATTAAGTAACTATTTTACAAGTTACTTGACTAATTAAAAAAAATTAACAAAATATTTAAATTCCATAGAATCCACTCACTAAGAAATACTATCTCCTTACAGAATTTGGTAACTATAAAAAAAATGGAGCAAAGAGTTCATTTGACCATCTTATTAACTCGTCGAGTACCGGTTTTATAGACACAATTAAAGAACAATAGGTCGCGGTCACCGGTGACCGCTTGGTGTTTGATAGTTTAATACTATTTTTATTTGTTGTAGACGTGAACGCAGCAGAAATCCAGCCCCCGCAGCACTTGAACACAACATTGGAGCTGAGGTACAATGTGCTCTGCGTTGGGCTGTGAGGGGCACCCTCCTACTATGGCTGCTCATGCTGACCTGGATATGTGCTGCGCTATATGACCAAGTTACTACCATGCGGGTAGATATAGGACATGGTAAGTTACCTATTTATATACTTTTTATGAAAATGTAGAAAACACATCAATAAAGGATTACTAATATGTTTTCAACATTCTCAAGATATCTCTTAATAATAAAATAGTGCAATTCATTTATTTATAGAATTTAATGTAGCATGTATAGCTAATAAAAAATTTGCTAAACCATAGATTACACAGCACCGGAAACCATTAATTGAGATTTAAATCGAAAAAGTATGAGCACTTTTATTATTGGAAACATTTTTAAAATTAAAAGCATATGTTTTAAATACAGGCAGTATGCCACATGATAGTTGAGTCATTAAAACGACGCGTAATTCGATACAGATATCTTTGTTTACATTGCTTGCAATTTTTTATATGAACAGTAAACTACCTATTTCTTGTACTGAATATGTTATTTAATTCTTTATAACTACTACTACTTACCATTATTTGACTACAATCTCTTAAAATAGAAGGGCTAAAAATCGTATTTAGAATTTACTTACGTATTTACAGTACCCGGCAATAAATATCGCACATCGACCTTTGAAAAGATCGACCAAGTCGCCGCGTATGCTGCTCATGATTATGTACCACTAAAACTGTTCAAATACTCGAATCACCTAAAATTAATACGTAGTTTGAGAAACAAAAAAATTACGAATGAATGTGAAATGACAGTTATTTCACACAGAACAGTCTCCTTTGCCAAAGTCCATGTAAAATATTTATCGCTGGGTAATATATTTGATGTCTTGTTCCATTCACATAGGTATTTAGATGATTTCGGTAATCCGCTGCAAATGAATGCACATTAGGCTCGTGACTAATTTGGCTCATGCTTTCCAGAAGCGATGTAGCGAAACATCAAACATTGCCAATTTCTAACGTCATTTTAGGACGAGTTTTACAATTTCTTGCCAGACATTCCAATAACTTTTTTCGTTTATTTTAGTTGTTATTTCCTACATTAATGACGTTCACTACGTTCAGTATATGCTCATTTTAGTAACACGCAGTTTTTAAAGTTAAATCCCCGCTTCTAACTCCCTGCCCCGATAAATGTTCTGTTTGAATTAGAATGTGTCCACAAAATGTCTCACAGATCACAGGTTTCAAGGAATATTTACGAAAAAAATTACTTAACTAAATTGATCCAACCGTACACTCTTAAAATCGTCAAATTCGAACAAGGATCTAAAGGACACTTTAGGTCTATAAGCGAACTCTTTTGAGTGACCTATTTCAAGAAATATATTCCTATCAAGAACAGATGATTTGCCATTATCCACAATTTGCAGATTACTACTAAAATAAACGCTTCTCTGACTAGCGAGTAGTGACGCTCATTGCGTGTCTCATGTTATCATTATAATATGCCAGTATTGAATATCTGTAACGACTGCTAAGCACGTAACCTACGACGTTACTTCATTCAACATTGGTAACCTAAAGTAACCCTTTTGTTTAAAACCCGTAGAAAGTGAACTCCGACTTAATACAGACTATACAGTATAAGTACATCATTCTATATTAGCATAAGGAGGTTTTACTTTCATCCAGAAACCACAGACTCGTACGATTTTTTTTTTTCATTTTGCTCGCGGAGTTTGCAAACATAAATTGCGTTTCCCGGCAAATTGAACATTCTGAATTCTGATTCCGCAACTTCCCTATGTTATAATATTATTCATCCACGGGATCAAATCAAAATACGACTTCCTGCTTTATAAACTGAAAGTAGGTCATTTCCTTGTATATTTTCTGTCGTAACAAAGTTACGAATTTATAATTAGGATCTGCATCTTTCCTTTAGCTTTCAATAACACTAAAGATTGCTTAATAAACAATGCTACATTTAAAAGTTAGTTTATTTACTGTAACGTATCAGATCAATATTTAAATATTAAAACCCAGACATTAAAATGAAGCTCTTCCAACAATAAATTAATGAGGCTCGGGGCTCTACTCAGGCGATTCCGGGTCAGGTCATCAAAATAATTAAATATTGTTCAATTTACAGCTACAGCGCTCTTGAGTAATTAATGTGGAACAAATTAGGACACTAGCTACGCTATAGTAGTAAACACGGATGTAACATAATACCTGAAAACGCCATCGATATTTTTTACAGTCGAGACTTTTTATCGAATGACAAAAAATAGTCTTCGTGACCGACCGTAACCTAATTGATAAAAATCACGCAAAGATGATAAAAATATATAGGTGGAACCAATTGTAACTTAATGCTTGTGACGTATGTTTTGAAAATAGACGGAATAAGGTGACACCTAAATGATGTCCGTGGTATGTTTTAATCTGTATTGCATAACCAAGCAAGACAAAGCTGTTTGTTATATTTGTTCTGCTTTGATTAACACAATTAGAAATGGAATGACAAATAGAAGAATATAATAATACTTAATAGAGAGATTTAGAAAATCGCAAAATTTCTAATAGGTATGGTTAAACTCCATAAGAAACGAATTTACATTTTAACACCGTTACTAAAATATGAAATTCTCCTTGATCCCCTTTCGCATCCAGTATCTCTAAATCGGATGCGGTGTTTTCAACACGCATGCGTCGCCGCGCCTGGGTGACGTCACAGTCAGTTCTAGCCCCAACGTTGCCCTGGACCCTTGTTCCATCATAATATTCACAATATCCCGTTGGGACTAGCCCTAATATCCAATACCTTCGCGTACAGTCTCTTATAAAAATATTTCCTGTGTTTCAGTTTGTGTATTGAAGTGTTTTATTTTATTCTATTGATCAGCGTGTGAGTGCATAGTGAGTGTTACGCAGTGCTCTGTCTGTTGTCTGTCTGTCTATGTGTTTTTGTACAAAAAACAGACTATCAATTTTGTACCGTTTATACATATTTGCTGTATAAAGCGCACCTGTTCTGAAGTTAATTCGCTTTCAAACTTAATATTTAGTATTGTTTCGAATACAATAGTGTCGCAAGTCGCGGGTTGCAGTGCGCATGCGTGGTTTTCATTCACCGCGTCTGCCGGCCCCGTAGGTCGATAATACAACAGTGTCTGCCTCGTAAATACTGTTATCACTATTCGGTTGTCTTATCGTATCTTATGACGTCATTGGGAAATGCGCGAAAGGGAGGTTAATGTTTTTTTTTTTATCATAGCGAATAAACTAGAGGCTCTATGGGAATAACATTAATTAGACGCCTTCATCGTCCAGTTTTCTTGTTTGAATATGATTAAAAACTGTTTCTGTCTAACACCTAGCTTTTTTTATAGGTTTAATGGGGCAGTTTTATATCGAAAGGTAATAACCACATCGTCTTATTACAGGTTATTGATTTAATTATTTATTATAGAAATGACAGCAATGATCGGTAACATGGTTCTATTATTGCAACTTAATAAATAAACAGGAAAAAATTTTAACTATAATAACTTGTTTACATTGCGTACGATAATTTACATTGAATTGTAGATTAGTTCCTAAAAACCCAATCGAAATTAATCTTTAATTAGTCTGTTATAATTATTGGGGGAAATTTTGATAAATGGCTTAACGAAAAAACTGTCATAATAATTCGTATGAAAATTTATGAGACATTATACGAACATGAGTTCGTGTTAACGTCGTTTGACTTGATCTCAAGTTATGCTACAAGAGATTACTTTTAAATAAAAACGACAGTCAATAGAAATGAATTGTAAGTGAGAAGGTTGTAAAACTGTTGAAAAAAAAGAAGGTTGTATTACGGACATGAACTAATACCAACGTAGACGTACTATAATTCACAAATAACGAAATTCTTACATAAATGAAATCTTGAAAAACTTTTAATATGCCTGTACGGAAAACGAAAGCCAAGTCTTGAATTAATGACATAATTAAACCATATCGAATCAATTGAAGCCATGGGCAAAAGTCTGTGAGTCATTTACCAATCACCGAATCGGTTCGCAAGATCAAGGTCGTCAACATAAGATATCATTTGATACAAACCAATGTCAACGTGTAAACGACCTTACGTAGGCGTTATGTCCAACTGTTCATACTTAGCACGTACTAAACTATAGCCTAGAGATCTAGACTCTAGAACATTTCTAGTCTGGGTCATTGTTTCTCAAAGTAAAGCAAATATTGGCGCTAATTTGTGCAGGTTGAACCGCTTTTAATTCCAGACATTGGTGCCTATTTTAATGTAAGAGAAAAAATAAGTACCTAATATGTCATATGCATAATATGCTCTTCTTAAACCATAACGAAACTTCTAGAAGGGATTGAAATGGGATGTAATTTACAAAAATAGAAAAAATAAGTTCACTTTCTAATAAGAAACTCCCCTGGAAATGGGCTTACTTATAGGGATTATGATGCTGTTGAAATGCGAAAATCTACTAACAGCTACAACTAAGATTGAGAATACATCACGCTCATCATCTATTCTCGTGTAAAGGAAACACAGACATGTCCTAGACTGCTAGGTCCTTTCGTGATTACACTGTTAAAATTTATAACTCCAACGTACTTGAATTGTGACTGACTGATCAAGAACATTATCATCGTAATCACGTCGTCACCGCCGTCTTGTGATAAACAATAGTGCTATAAATATTACTCCTGTTTCTCGTTTCAGTTATGTTTAAATCTGGGGTCGTTTCAGCTGTTTTAGCAACTAATGAATCAAGGCCAAGGCCAAATAATATTTTTGTAGCGCCCAATATTCGTAACGTAATCAGGCAACAGAAATGTTTCAATGATGCCCTCGAAATTATTTTATTTTTGCTCCTAAGTCGGTATGAACGCTGTACATTATTGTATTAATATTACATTGTTATCGATGTGAATGAGTCGTCACTGAAAGGCGATAAAATTAATCTAAAGATTCGTTACACATGCATGTTCGTGAATTGTCGATTAGTGTCTCACTGTCATCCGTGTACAAACAATCGCAATGTAATTGTATCAAAAACTCAGACAGACAACAGACGTAATTTACACAACATGGCAATTGATTAACCCTC